GTGTAGAGGTAGCTACGAGCTGGCGCTGGTGGTTCTCTCCCTTTCGGGTTGCAACTTCACTCGGGGACAGATATAAAGAGACCAATACCGCAAGACCCAACTCGAAGCGTTGTGGGGTTGGCTTTGGATGCTTTCCTTTCTTGCTACACAGCAACAAGACAAGAGGCTTTGAAAGTCACAATGCCGTACGTTCTTTTCAAGTTATTTTCTTTAATTTTGTTTTTATTTTTTTGACTTGAAGTTTTTGACTTGTCACGCTTCCCAGTCCGAACCCGCCGTTATCCTTTAGCGGCAGTACAAACTGGAGGCTACGCAATGCAAGGCATGACAACCTGGACGCCCAAAAATGGAGAAGAATCTCAACACAAGAGGGTCCCGTTCAACCCATCATCCATGGCGGTCCATGGCCGCCCACGCGGTGCCAGGATACAGTGTTGTCTACACGGTCCTCACCTTATCACTGCAGCGATGGAACACGGCCGGGCCCATTCTTGGGCTGCCAGGCATGAACATGTGCTTCTTTGGCCTTGGACAAATGAGGCTTCTGTGTTTCCAGTGCGTGATATTTTTGATATTTTGATTTGTTGGCTTGAATTGAGGACATGTGAGAGATATTCGGGAAACTGAAATTGGACGTTTCTTTGGTGCGCAACTTGGGCGCGGTCGATAGCCACACTGTGTGTTCGCCTCAGATCAAACTAAAATCTTGATAAAGCTTTCTTCAGGTGGGACGGGGTACCACCACTCATCAAATCACACTACACTGCATGTTTACAACTCAAGTCCCTTGCTTATTGGTTTTCATCACTTTTAGGAAAAAGCAGAGCTCTCGATCTTGTGTGTGACCATTTTCCATCAGACCATTGACCTAGATTGACATTCAAGATTTCTCGTCTGTGCAATAACAAAGACGTCGGATACCCCTGAAGTGTCCATCGCCCTGGAGCTCCGACTTGTGTCCTTCATTCGGGCTTCAGGGGGAACCCAACAATAGAAGAGCCTCGGCGCATCTCAGCATTGCCTCAGAATGAGATTGATCGACAAAGCCAAAACACAGCACACGCAAGACATGACGAGGCAAGATCACCCACCCACGCTTCAGCAAACACACTCTTTACCTTGATTGTCGTAAGCACGTGGGAAGATGAGCGAGTTTTAGGACGCCAATTTGTTAGCGTAGAATCCCGTTTTCTCGCCGAGGTTGGTGGCTTCAGGTGTTATTTCGGCGGAGGGTCCAACTTGACTATTTGCGCCATGAAGGCATGGCAGCGCTCCTGGATATGTGTGTTTGTTCGAAATCGACTTGTCTTTTTTTTTTTTTTTTCTATTTTTTTTTTTTTTGAAAAGATTTTGAGACTTCTCATGTCCATTGTTGGGTCCTAGACAAGAGCGGGCGGAACTTGGCGGGCGAGTGCTTTTTGATACCGTGTTTCGGGTCAACTCCGACCGGCGGGTCTCTACTATCGGCACAATAGCGCCCGCGGATTCCCGGTTCGGGAGACGGATGGGACGACTGCAACTTGGGACTGAACGGGCATCCATCCGGACGGTTCATCGGGAACCGAAATCCGGATGACCCCCGCATTTGCCCTTGGTATCATCCGCACTTTGCTCCTCCAACGTTTTTTCCAAATCCATCCCCACGTTGCTGCGCTAGCCCGACAGCCCGTGTAAGTCGGCGGCTTGGCGGGATTGTGGAATGACGGGCCGGTATCTCTCGAACGACCTCGAAACAAAATCCGAGATGGGACCTGAAGCGCACATATTGCGATCGCCAACATTTCAATCAGTTGTCGTCACCTTAAACTACCCCAGGCTCGCCAGATCCGGTTGGCAAGCAGAAATCCTCAATCCTGAAACGTGATCTGCTTTGCGTAAAAAGGAGGGTCAGCTGAAGAGGGAATGGTCTTGATTGATATTGTTCACGCCCCGTGCTCAGTCATGGTTACTGTCGTCGTCTATCTATTTACACCACAATCAGCAACGTCGAGTGTCGTGTGACAACTTGAAAAGAGATTCCACCTGACCCGTCGTCGGGCATCCAACAGCCCAGCCCTATGGCTGTTTGCATGCCGGTTCACGGTATTCAAGAACGTCACGGGAACGGAAGTCTGTATTTTCGAGAAACCTCTACCCCATGTTCGACGTTATTGTGTAAACTTTGTGGATTGTAAACAGTCAGCATAGCATACACTTCAGGGAACGCCCCGATGTAAGAAGCTGATGCTCTGCAGTATGTGAACCACGCATCGAGGTTGCTGTGTGTACATATATGCTAGAAGCGTGTTGTTGTACCTATTCCGAGCAGTAAGTAGTGTAGGCAAGCAGGCAATTGACGATGCGTATGCCAAAAAAATGTAGGTCGACGGTGCGCCAAGGAGCCCTACATCGCACGTCCCTTTCTCTTCGACGCTGCCGGAATAATTAGACTTGACCGTTGTAGGATCGGCATTAGTCTCTGGCTTCGAATAATTCAAGCTTCAAGCTAAAGTGATTGTGATGCTGACGATGGAGTTGGTTTCGAGCTCCAAAGCTTCGACGACGGGAAAAAGAAACGTCAAAGAACGCAGGCAATGCCCCACTATCACTGCCACCATCAAGGGTCCCCGGATTCTGGACGCTCCTGGCTTTTCGCCTCAGTGGGGTACGCTGAGCGCATACAGTGGGGACTGCACGGCGGAGCGGGGCATTGCTGATCAACTGAAATCGTCGGTTTCTCTTTCCATTTCTGCCAAACATCACATTTTCGTCGGATGTCAGCATCAGGAGGAGTTTTCATCTCCTCGAACAGCAGTCATTTACCGGCGTTATGTAAGAACTGCGAAGTGGCGATAAGTCTTATTTTCCGTACAAAAGATGGCTACTTTGCCCACCTTCAATTCCATGAATATTGTATGGTGGCGGTACCACACTAACGACTCACATGCCGGCAGAAGTGTGTACACTACACAGAAAGCTTCGGTTTGGCTTATGAACCTAAGTATTCCGGGTTCAACAAGCACGAGTGGCTTGACAGGACAAGCACAACGTAAAGGAAACCTAACGGGATTACACAGCAACAAGGCAACACAAAGACACCCAACTTCAAAGAGGGAGGTTCCATATGTGCAAAGAATGATTGGGTCGGGTCGTCAGAAGGCTCGGTCAAATGTTCCAAAGCGAGGGACGGGAACCTGTGAAAGTGATTAGCCGCCAGCCATGGAGGTGGGATGGTCAGCAGCGCTTTGTGCGTGCCCCCGAGGCGTTGCAAGACCCCTTGGACCCCTAAAAACTAGCAAGCGACCAGGTGGCACGCCGGCATGATCAAATGCGGTCCGCCCAGGAGAAAGCCATCTAATCCAGACAATGGGGATTCCCGTCTGGCATGTCCGATATGGAACAGGACTGGACCTAGTAAGTATTCGGCCTGGATCCCACACCATCTTCAGCCATTCAGCCATTGCCCGCCTGCCCGCCCTCGCTCGATAATGGAACCCACCTCAGCCCGCCCTCGCCGCCCGCCATCCCCGTCTGTCAGATCAATGGCTCCATGCCTCGTGTTTGTGCTGTCTGCCCCCTTGACAAGCCTAGAGGCAAAAGGTAGAATATGTACATAGTACACTACCAGGCACAGGCGTGACATGTCGACGGCATGCTGCCGGTCTCGGTGATTCTCTTGAGCCCGGTTGCTAGCTGTTTCTCTCCTGGGGCTTCCCATCTCCAATCGGCCACTCACCTCAAAGGCCCCCCCCCCCCCCCCCCCCCCCCACCTCGGCCAGCCAGTGCTGCCTCTCACACATCCCCAGTCCGCTCAGCTGGCTGCCCAATATGCGATAAGGGACCTCATCCTAGCTGTATGTCGTGTCACCCGGAAAAATAACCGCAAGACCCTCCTGCCTTTCACGGCTGTCCATCCGTATCATAGGAAACCACGTCTTCTTATTTTCCCTCTCACCTTCGCTAGCGTGGGGTATCATAGCCCGGTGTCATCTGCTGGATCCAAGCAGCTCGCTTTATCGATGTCAGCTTACATCTCTTATCTTGCCCTTCACATCCCCAAGATCGTCTGGTCTTCATTCCTCATGAAATTCTCTTTTCTTTCATCTTCCTACCCATACCCAAGAAACAGTTCCAGCTTACACGTGTAAGCGGAGTGGAAACGAACTAAACGAGGCCGGTACGACAACAACGAATCAACCGTTGACTGGCTGCCGTTCGAATATCACTACAGCTCACGGCGGAATTACCGACAACTACGTACAAACAGTTTCGGTAGGCTTATAGTGTACAAGAGGGAAACACCTCAAGTGCGGAATCCCAAAAGGCTGGGCTCGACATTCACAGGTCCCGATATCCCAACCTTCCCTCTCGTCTCCAACAGACAATACCCCTGAAAGGCCCCCTCTCGCCCCTCCCCGCACTGTTGATCTTCGAGCGGACGGCCGAGCTGTGCGGGTTTAGAAGCAGAAGCCAGCGAAATTTTCTGGGGCCCTGCACTGGAACACCTCGAGAACACTTCCCGTCACCGATGTGCCGACCCTCCGCCTCTTCCTCGCACATTTGATGGGTTTATAGGCAGAGCCGTGCTCTCCGTGGTCTCGAAGGTGTGCCTTCGTTCGCTCATCGCTGGGCTTCTTTCCGTTCTTTGTTCGACCCCGTTTGTCCTGAGCCCCTGGTCACCTTGCTTTTGTTGTCTGTCCAGGCCATCGATTGGTTCTCGTTTGTCAGTGTCCCTTACTCGCTCTGTCCGCCAGGCTGTCCAGAACCCCACACACCATCACCATCGTGGGGAGACGAGCACATTCTTTGAAGTTTGGGTGTCTACTCGATAGCGCCACCACTCGCCTTGCTCATCTCCACTGCTGGAAACATTTCTCGGTCTGTCGGCACCTAGTCAGTTAAAGGGCAGATAAACACCGATTCGTATCAGTGCCCTTTTTGAGTATTTCCCCGAGTACATCGAGCCGGTTTTGATCACTTACACGGAGAACTTGCGGCAACCAACCACACTCGTTGCTACCATGGATTCACGACCAAGCAGGCCGTCAACGCCCATATCGGCCAGCAATGGCATACTTGAAAATGGAGAAGTGATGAGGGCAAGGAGTAAAGGACGCGAGAAACTGCTCCGAGGTCTCCAGCGTATCTCATCATCACCGGCCTTGGCTCCTTTTCAACGCCAAAGGTCATCGAGCAGTCCCTACCACGGCCATAGCAATCTGTCATGCGTTAGTCTGGCTACGCCCAGTGCGCCATCTCCCTTTGGTCAGACCAGCATCAGCTCTTCATACTTCTCTCACGGAGCGTCGACGGCTTCTTCCAGCGTTCCTTCTACGGCTCCGACCACCCCGGGCTTCCAGTCGCCCGGTTGCAATGTTTCGGATCCCATGCTGGCGGTCCGCAAAGTTGGCCATCCCGTTCATGCGACGACTTCGATCGCCTTACCTCATCACAAGAAAAAGTTGACTACATTTAACCTTTGGGTCAACATGCCGCATGAAATCAGAATCCATGTTCTCTCGTTTCTCACCCCCAAGGAGCTGGTTCGCACATCGCGTGTCAGCAAGGACTTGTATAATATGTGCTATGACGGGCAACTCTGGACGAGATGTGACGCCTCGGAGTTCTATCAACAAATACCAGCCGAGGCACTAGCCCAAATCATTGTATCAGCGGGCTCATTCATTAAGGATCTCAACCTTCGAGGATGTGTGCAGTTGGAGCACCACAGACGCGCAGAGATGGTGGTGAAAGCTTCTCGCAATCTGGTCAATGCTACCCTGGAAGGTTGCCGAAACCTACAACGGCAGACACTGCACGATTTGATCAAGAGGAACAACAGACTTGTCAACCTCAATCTTACAGGCTTGCCAGCCGTCTGCAACACAACCCTGAGACTTATTGCCGAGTCCTGCCCGCAGTTGGAGATGCTGAACGTCTCATGGTGCAAACACATGGATGCTAAGGCCATCCAAACCGTGTTGGAAGGATGCCCGAAGCTCAAAGACCTGCGAGTCGGTGAGGTCAAGGGATTCAAGGACTTGGAAGTCGCAAAATCCATCTTTACCACCAACAACCTCGAACGCCTCGTTCTAGCAGGATGCGAAGATCTGAGTGACGCCGCGCTACAAGTCATGATGCACGGGGTGGATCCCGAAATCGACGTTCTCACAAACACGCCTATGGTGCCACCTCGAAAACTTCGTCACCTCGATCTTTCCCGATGCAATCGTCTCACCAGCCAGGGCGTTCAAGCCCTAGGCCACCTGGTTCCAGAGCTCGAAGGTCTAATCCTCTCCGGTATCACGACCCTGACCGACTCGGCAGTGGAACCGATCCTAGCGTCTGCTCCCCGTCTTACGCACCTTGAACTCGAAGATCTCGGGGAGTTGACCAACTCTCTCTTGTCCGAACACCTCGCCAAAGCTCCCTGCGCGAGCAAGCTCGAACACCTCAGCATTGGCTACTGCGGCAACCTAGGCGACACGGGCATGCTACCCGTCTTCCGCGCTTGCACATCTCTCCGCAGCGTGATTATGGATAACACGCGCATCAGCGATTTGGTCCTGGCCGAAGCAGCTTCTATGGTCCGTCAGCGCGCGATGGACGCCAGGCGTCGGGCCATCTCTCTCAGCCCTCAGCAGGTCTCAGGCTTGCCAAATGTCACTCTACACTTGACCGTCTACGACTGCGGCAACGTCACCTGGACCGGAATCCGCGAAGTCCTCAGCCGAAACACCGAACCCATGAAAATTTCGGTTCCTACCACTGATACTCCCTCCATCACCCTTACCGAGGAACCATCATCATCCGACCTCACAACCTCCATGTTCGACACCGACAACAAATCCGGCACCGCCACCACCACCCCCATCAACCCCTCTCCCACCACAAGCACAACCGTTGGTACCACCACCTATTCCTGCCCGCCCACGGAAACAATTGCCCTAAAATGCTACTACGGCTGGCAACAAACCGTAGACGAGCACACCAAGCGCGTGCTTCGCGGGTCCTTTCCCTCGGCTCGCCGTCTTGAGGCCAAGTGGGCGCAGTATATGCAAGCCGAGGAAGAGGAGCGGGCGGGCGGGGACGGTGCCGGAAGGAGGAGACGCAGGAGGAGAGCGAGGGAGGCCGCGATGGTGCATGCTAATGAGGAGGGTCTGGGCCATCTAGGTGAGGATGGTGAGGATGTTTGGGGGGCTGGAGGTGGTGACGAAGGGATGGGAGTGGCAGGAGGGAGGAGGAGGGCTAGGACTGCTGTTTGTGTTGTTATGTGATTCTTGTGGTTTTGGGCGGTTGTACAAGGAGTAAGTGATGCTTCTCGTGGTTTGCGTTGGGGCCTTTTTAGAGGCCTAGAGGTATCGATGTGGGTTCATAGATAAGAAGCGTGTTTTTGTGGCATTTTGTGGGCATGGGATGCATATGAGTTCGGGCATGGTCGAGGCGTTTCTTAAAGGGTACAGGAGATATGGATTCGGTTTCGTAGGGCCGAAATACACAGTAAGATGGTTTAAAGAGAGTGTCGGGGGGAGAGAAAAAGAGACAGGAAACAAGAATAACCTGGCGCCAAGACCTTTTCAGGAAAGGTTACGCGGGTTGAACAATAGTGTTTTCTCGGGATTTATTCGTTATTCAACCTCTTCCTTCGTCTTCATTCTTTGCTTGGTCGTTATCATAACGGTCGCTTCAAGCACTTGCCGTCTTTCTAGCGTATCTGTCAGTTGCTTTCCTGTATTCGTAGAATAGCAGTCTTGTTGCTGTACGTATATGAAGATCTGCTTAAGAAGAAGAATAGTTTACTCCTAGGATCCAGACGTCTCATGTGAACTTATCCACCATTGTCTGTCGGAAGTTCGTTCCTGTACCAAGACACTCGCCGGTGACTCAATTACCTCATTACTACATGCCGAGCAAAGCATCTTAACCCTCCAAGGCCTCTTTCGAACCACACACGTTCAATTACCACACATCTGTTCACCTGTCGTGGCAGCCACTCAGGATCACAATTCTCGTCCTACTTCCCTTGCCCGCTCGTCGGCTGCCTACGGCTGCAGAATCGAGTCGCACAGCATATGTCCGCTCTTCCTGATTGCCGAGAGAAATCGAGATAATGTCCTGTCGTTTTGTTGACAGGCGGGCCCATTGTGACTATGGAACTCAGTGTTGATGATCGAGGAGGCTCAAGACGAGTAATCCTCTCACATAAACAACACGCGAGTAGAACATGAAGGAATTAGAAGGAAAAGAACAATAACAACACCAACACCACCAATACAGCGAACTGGAGGACAGTACAACCTCAACTGGAAGTACGACGGGAGCGGTTGAGTCTAACGTGGACTTTTCGGGTGGCAGGCGGACATATTTTGTGTAACTTGACTCTGGCCAAACCCAGATTTCGTTCGAAAACCATAAGGTAGGGAGATCAGGATCCAGAGAAGACGGAGATGAGGCTAGGTAGAATGGTGAAGTTTCAGGAGTTGGAAGTGGATGTGGATGTGAACAAACCTGGAGAGTCCCAAATAGGTTGAGAAAGTTCGAGTGGGGTCTTTGGAAGAGGGCGGGCAGTTCCCTTACGCGACATGTACACTATGTACTTACCTGCCCTCCTGGTTCAAGAGCCGTCAGTGTGTTAGTGAATACATTGGACAGCGGCGTTCTTCACTATCTCGTTATCAAACACTCGTCATTTGCGCAAGTGGGTACTCCGGTATTAGCAAAACATCAGCGTGAGATGAAGAATGGATGATTTGACGTTGCTCGGATGCAGCAAAAAAAAAAAGAAAAAGAAAAAAAAAAAGAGAAAAAAAGAAAGGCAGCATATTATGATACTATTGTCTGTCATGGGTTGACCTAGGACTCTCCTTCTGATGGTATCATCATTCTGGCCAGCGGAGGTTGTGATTGTGTGGTACGTTTGATGGCGAGAACGACGCAAACAGGGACACCTTCAGTTGGAACCTACCGGCAGCTGGCCACAGGTACAAGGCACCTTCCAGAGACTTTGCCCGCCTGCCCTTGCCGTGGGGAACGCCATCAGATTTGCCCAGAAGCAGCCTCTGAAAGCGGGACAGGCGTATGTAGCACAACGCGGGGAATGAAGTCACTGTCAAGTGTCAATCACTTCCACTTCAGCTGTGGACGCTCTTGTCGTCATGGCATGGTATTGTGGTGTCTTCTGCTTCAAGTTTGCTTCCACTTATGGGAGATATCAATAAGTGACCGAATAATACACAGATGCAGAAGCTTCAGAAATAACATCCCCGGGCATCAGAACTGGGCAAAGTTCGTTGACATGCTTGGCCATTGCATGTTCCATCGCAGTACTTCGACCTTGTTGTGGTAGGTAGGGATGCAATAGATGGTAGTGTAGTGGTACCGACCCCAGGCTGCCCGTTACCAGCCGTAGAGGTGCCTTGCGTAGGCGTGTCTGGACGGGAGGTAGGTAGGGGAGAGCTCATGAGCTAGGTTCCCTGCACCAGGGCATGGGGCTGCCACCACTCTCCTCCATACCCGTCTGTGTCGACCCCTCTTCCTCTTTTTGCTCGATTCCCGTCGTCTTTCCATCCAAGTTCCCGGCGTCGTTCTCCAAATTTGTTAGTGTGAAATTTAACCGTCTTTCATCATCCCTCCCGTCCACTTTTTCCACCTCCCACTCTGCCTTCTCTGTTTCTCTCTTTACCTCTTTCTCTTCTACACCTTCCCACCTCAACCTTTCACGCCCCTCTCGTATCCGCTCCGAATCCCTTCCTCTTTAACTCTCTCTACACCTCTACTCCATCCGTCCCTCCTCACCTCCCCGTTGCCGGACATTCTTCTTATCTCCTCCTCCCCTCCCCGGCACTTTGATCTACTGAGTGTGAGTCTTCTCCTTCGCCCAACGCTTCCACTTCAAAGCAACAACTTAAGCATCGCCTCCCCGGTTGCCCTTGACCTCCTTGGCATGGGTGGGGGGGGGGGAAACCGACAGCATTCCGACTACGGACTGCATCTACCACACGCTCTGAGCCCCAGTCTCTGGATAGTGACTCGAGGTAGCCTCGACTAACACGCCCTGTCTGTACTATTCAGCCAGAACTCTATAGACAATCAGTCCCGTAGCTGAGTGCTTGCCTGCCGCTCAAACCCTCCCAAAAGAAAAGGTACGTGCATCCGGGCCCCCGGACCTGCCTGCCCCGCTACTAGGGAGCCGCCCACTCCACCGTCTGCAGGGACAGCTCTGCAACGGCCCACCATTTGTCCTTCTGTTTTGCTGCGTTCGCGGCCTTCCATCACTTCCAAGTATCTGATCTGTGATTTCGAGTTTCCAGCAAAGAAAGTGCATCTGTTCTGTTGGTCCTCAAGTTTGTACCGTTGGTTCCCTTCCATCTGTCGTTTACCCTGTGGCTTACCTAAGGCTCCTGCCGATATTGGGGTGCAGCAACAAGAGCTTGAGCTTTTCTTTGTCACATTCCCCACTGACTTTGGCCAGACTTCCCCCAACACCACCTTCGGCCATCAAGTCAAACCACCCCAATCCAGTTCCCTCTCCCAACGTGAACAACTACCTGTCTACAAGCTACCTAGGTAGTTCGTCTACTAATCTTCTCCTCCTCCATCCAGATTAGACTTTTACTCCTCAAACGTCGTCCCAGCCCTTTCAGTTCCCACCTTCTCGGACATACATCATGTCTGCCAGCCAAGACCCCATTCCGGCCAACGGTGGCAGCATCGAGGAGAACCTCGATCACCTCAAACTCGATGACAATGAGCCTCGCCTCGGTCCCGATGGCGAGCCTGCCCCCAGAACCGACGAAGAATACGCCCAGACTACCCTTACTCTGCGAGCTATCGTGTCTTCCAAAGAAGCTGGGGTGATCATCGGCAAGGGCGGCCAGAATGTTGCCAACCTCCGTGACGAAACTGGCGTGAAGGCTGGTGTTAGCAAGGTTGTCCAGGGTGTTCATGACCGCGTCCTGACCATTACCGGAGGCTGCGATGCTGTCTCCAAAGCGTACGCTGTTGTCGCTCGCTCCCTTCTCGAAGGCGCCCCGTCTGTTGGCATGGGTGGCGTCATCTCTGCCAACGGCACTCATCGTACGATTGAACCCATTGAAATGCTTTGAGCACCGCTAATCTCATGTGTAGCCATCAAGTTGCTCATCTCCCACAACCAGATGGGCACAGTCATCGGCCGCCAAGGTCTGAAGATCAAGCACATCCAGGATGTCTCGGGCGTTCGCATGGTTGCGCAGAAGGAGATGCTACCGCAATCAACCGAACGCGTAGTTGAGGTGCAGGGTACTCCCGAGGGCATTCAGCGCGCTGTCTGGGAGATTTGCAAGTGCCTGGTCGATGACTGGCAGCGGGGCACCGGCACCGTTTTGTACAACCCTGTTGTCCGCGGCGGTGGCCAACCTCTCGGCGGCGATCGCAACTATCCCCAGGAAAGGTCGTACGGTAGCTCTCGTGTCACACGGACTGGCAATGGTGCCGATTTCAGCAGCAACAGTGGTGGACGCCCTTACAACCGTCGTTCTGATTCCGACGCCGCCTCTCGTGGCCCTCCTACCCATGATGAGAACGGAGAGGAAATCCAGACCCAGAACATCAGCATCCCCGCTGATATGGTTGGCTGCATCATTGGACGTCAAGGCACCAAGATTAGCGAAATTCGCAAGGCCTCTGGTGCGCGCATCTCGATTGCCAAGGTGAGTGATGAGCCTCTCATATGTTGACTGTGAAACGGCCATTAACATGACCAATAGGGCCCTCATGACGAATCTGGCGAGCGCATGTTCACCATTATGGGCTCCGCCAAGGCCAACGAGACAGCTCTGTACCTCCTCTACGAGAACTTGGAGGCGGAGAAGACGCGCCGCTCTCACCAAGCTCTGGAGCCTTCCGAGTAGAGTGCGGAGGAATCATATGGCGCGAGGCTGTAGCCGACAAAACTCTTTCATTTGCTGAAAGAGTTGATGGCGGCAGTATTTCAGTTATTTGACCACATTACCCAGGTTGTTTTACATTAAAGGAAAACGTTCGGCAGCCCCTTGTTATGAGTCGTTCCGAAAATGACAGCCCGCAAGGCTCGGAATTGTGGCAGGAAACACAACAGGAGGACAGTTTCTTGATCAAAAGCATAGTCGACGGACCACTTTCGGTTCTCCTTTACGAACTGGGTCATTCCCTATCCCGCATTGTATTCGGCAACACCTCCCTTATCTCGCCAGTTTTCACACTTTTTGCCTAGATAGGCCGCGCAAGCTGGCCTGGGTGGTGGAAATTTTGGTGTGAGGGCACTCAGACTACAAGCCTTGTCTTTGACTTGGTGTCGTTGTTTGTATCCCACGAGCCGATTCCAGCATCGACATGGGATAGTCCGGCGTGTTCGCAGCAGACACCCATGCGATTCCTTAGACCGTTCAACATCTTTCCCGCATCTCATCACCCAAGCCTGTTGGCGTGCTTTTCCAACATTCAGCACTACCGCCGAGGCCTCTCCCATCTCTTACACCGAATCTTTTTTTACTGCGCTGATACATACGACAGTCCTGAGGTGGTGTCCATAATCAGGAACTATATCAAAGTGCTGGGATCTGGCCAGAACGTCAACCACCCGTTAAGTGGAGGTTTAAACCTGCTTGGTAGTCAGTTAGGCATAGATAGCACAAAAACGAAGGGCAATAAATGTCGCTCTTTTGGTCCAATTGTGTTTTTCGCACTTCCCTCTACACTACACGTATGTGACTATGCCTAGGTTTGTCATGTCCCCCGGTTTCGGCACATTCTGATCCAGGGGGAGCTGCCCCTGGAATCTTACGCTAGACCCCGCAAAAAGGGCAAGTGAAACTGGCGGCGCTAGCGTAGGCCGACCCCTGGATCCCACCAAATAAGGTTAGATAGCGTAAAGCGCAGTGGTGATTACGGCGCATGTGCCGGCCAATCTTGACAGGATGACAGGGCTGGGCGCACGAAATGGGGCATGGAGCTTGATGGAAAAGCCACCCTGTCCGGATGACGGATGTACATACAAGAACCTCTACGGACAGCGTCTTCCATGATTACTGTACAGGAGATTTCCTCGACCAACATTGTCCAATTGATTGAGCAGCCAATCCGTTCAAGACATCTTGTCTATATTCGAGTCGACCCCCACAGACCTTTGATTCTGTCATTTATCTCCCCTTTTTGCCCTCCCTCCCTCCCTCCCTCCCTTCCTTCCTCTTGTCGAGGGCCGTTCGAGTGTATCATCACACAACCGCGAATCACAATACCACGGCATCGGCCACAAAAACTACACAGCACCGTCATGGCTCGCGCAAAGCAGCCAACCCCGGTACGGCGGGAGCTATCCTCCGAATATATCAGCAAAGCCGACCGGAAATCGCCATCTGAGAAGGAGGAAGCAGCAGCAGTCTCCGGCGCAAGTGGAAGTGTCAAGCCGCCATCCTCATCATCCCTTGCGGTACCAATCAAGAAGAAAGCTGGCGTCGCCACGCTCCTCATTGACGTTGCCGGCATTTACATCTCCTTGTAAGTCGTCGTTCCGATTCCGTTCTCGGTCCCCGGGGGGGGGGGGGACAAGAAGCATTGTATCACGAAATCAGCAACTAACACAAAACCAACAGCCTAACCTGGGCCTACCTCCAAGAAAAGCTCACCACGACCAACTATGGCGCCTCTCCGATCTCCAAAGGCGAGCGCTTCAAATTTCCCGTCTTCCTTTTAACGATTCAATCTCTCTTCGCCGCCCTCGGCGGCAAGCTCTTCACCGTCCTTTCCACCCCCAAGGGCCAACCAGTCCCCGCCATGATCCCCTCGCGCGCAATCTTACCGCCCCTTCTCTTGGTGGCATTCACCAACGCGCTCGCCGCTCCGTTCGGGTACGCCGCCCTGGGACACATCGATTACATCACTTATATCCTGGCCAAGTCGTGCAAGCTGTTGCCCGTCATGTTTTTGCATATCACGCTTTTCAGGAAGCGGTATCCGCTGTACAAGTACTTGGTCGTGGCGGCGGTGACGGCGGGAGTGGCTGTTTTTACGCTGCATTCGGGCTCCAAGAAGCATAAAGCTTCGAGTCACTCAGGGCAGACGAGCTGGGGATTGTTGTTGCTGGGCATCAACCTGCTGTTTGATGGCTTGACCAACAGCACGCAGGATTACATTTTCCAGACGTTCCAGCCTTATACGGGCCCCCAGATGATGATGGCGAACAACCTGTTGTCGTCCATCATCACGGGCGCGTATTTGGTCTTGTCCCCGTGGCTGGTGAAGACGGGACTGGGCGAGTGGTTTGGCATGGCCCAGGCTACGGGCCAGGAGGGAGAGCTGGCGGGCGCATTGGCGTTTTTGGCGAGACATCCGGAGGCGTGGAGGGATGTACTGGGATTTGCTCTTTGTGGCTGTATTGGCCAGGTCTTTATTTGTGAGTTTTTCTCTTTCCTTTGTTTTGATTGCTTCCTCATCCCCCCACCCTTTTTTTCCCCCCTGAATTCTCAACAGCGCAACTAATCACCCCCATCTCACAGTCCACACCCTCTCAACCTTCTCCTCCGTACTCCTCGTCACCGTCACCGTCACCCGCAAAATGTTCACCATGATCCTCTCCGTCGTGGCTTTCGGCCACCGCTTGTCTGAGATGCAATGGCTCGGCGTCGGTCTCGTGTTCGGTGGCATCGGTGTTGAGGCTGGCATTGCAAGACGCGAGAAGCTCGCCAAGGAAGAGGCCAAGAGAAAGGCGAAGGCGGCTTTGGGGAAGGCGCAATGATCAAGTCTTCGGGTGGTAGTGGTGAGATGGATGAAAAGGTGTAGTTGATTTAGGTCTAAATAGGTTAGAGGATGTGAGATATAGAGAGACTGATGTTATTATGCGGTATTTCTATAGATATCAAATATATGTGCCGGTGCTCAGTTGCACAAATGGTCATATGAGCATTGTTCGTGGGATTTATATATATTCGGAAGGTCAAGGCATATTTGCTCACGTACCTCTGTAGAGTCGAAATACGAATACATGGTTGACACAATTTTGCGGAACTCGTTCACTCGGGAGCCTTGAGAGGCAAACATCACATATATACAAGTTGTATATGTAGGTAAAGCCCCTCACGTTTCTTCGTGTACTTGTTCCTTCCAGCCATGTCCGCACCTAACTCATCATCCATTAAGCATAGATCTTGTGGACTTAAATTCCTCAGGAGTTGTCAATTCTGATATACTCATGCCTGGGTTTTCATGTCTTCCAATATTTTTAGACAGGCGTAACGAACCAGATGTTTGTATGTCTCTTCAACATGTTCTCGATAAACCGAGTAGATCTGTAATACCGTCGATACCATCAAATCTCTGCAACAATTCTTCCCATGTTCAGATCACTCAGTGTTTGACAGTTACTCATTGTCCACATCAAATGTTCAAGATGTGCATATAGTTCTGGACACAGAAGCGCCATGGAACTGCAATTGAACCAGTAAATAGTAGTGTGAATTCATTCTTTTCTTTCACCATGTAAATCGGAACACATCCGTTGCCCCGATGCCCTTCCCTCCCTCCCACTGTGTGTGTGTGTGTGTGTGTGCCTGTCGGGCTGAAACAACCTATCAACAAAAGAACAACCTAGAAGAGGGCTTAACAGCGCCCAAACAAACATGAAGAACAAAGGAAAAAAGAATAAGTAGGCCACCCAATCAAGGGGAATTTGCAGAAGCGAAAAGGTCGGGACAAACGTGTATCGCATTCCACACCACAGACCCGAGCCTTGATACCCTTTTTTTACCAAACCACACCACCAGCGCACAAGAAAAAAAAAAAACAAAAAGAACAAAGTTCGCAAAAAGAAAAAAAAAAACGCCACCTTTCAATGCTTGGCATAGTAATGTTGAACCAATGAGTACAGTAATGATATTGATACAAAGGACGATTTTTCCCTGCAGAGACTGAATCAGACTGTCCGGCGTCCTCATAGCAGTTCATCGATAGACCGAACAATAGGGGTTTCTCCCTTTGTTGGTGGACTCCTAGGGTCTGCCACTTGTTTTGGCCGCCCAAACGGATAGCAAGTGTCGCGGGGAAACAGTGCCTCCCGAGGTGAGAACAACCCTTCACCTGGCGTAGGCGGCACCTCCACGAATTGCATGCCGGGAATGCCCGCGAAGGGCTCATGAAGAGGGTTCGCTGTCATTGTCTCGGCACGCGGAGACATGAGTGCGGCGTCTTCAAAGTCTCGCACCACAGCCATATGCCTTTCTGGAGACGTAGCATCCTTGCTCACTTTGCGCTTTGGCGGCGCACCCAACGTTGGCGCTGCTCCTAGTGTCAACGGCACAAACCCGAATCCTGCCTGTGAACCGAACCGATGAGCGCCAAAACCCGGGGATGGTGGTGGCTTGGAGAAGGCTGCCTCGAGAGGTGGGCCAAAGCCAGGTGACTTTGGAGGTTCTGCCAGCGTGGGAGCAAAAAGTCCGCGAGAAGGTTTCGGTTTCAACGGGGGTGATGGGGTGGATGGCCTTCCCCTGTCCGGCTCGGGAGACTTGATGCCCAAGTTAACGTTGAAGCGACCAAATCTTCCAGGATCCCTCTCGTCTTCCTTGATGGCCCATGAAAAGCTCGAAGGAGCGGATGATGGACCTGGCGATATTGGCTCTCCTCTCTTTGGCGTAGAGTGCCCTCGGCCTCGTGTTGGACTAAGATTAGGTGTGGCGTGTTTCGACGCAACATCCTCCCTTGGTAATGGCGCAGTCAATGGCTCTTGTTTTACGGGTAGGTCGATGTTATCGACTGACAAAGTCATCCTGTGCCTTGAGGGGCTTCTCCCCAGGCGTGGCTTGAAGCTCGAGGTCATCAACTTCCTCTTTGAGACCTCCTTCTGAAAATCCTGTAGGCAGTACATCAGCCTCATATTGGGGCTGATCCACCTGCTTTTGGCCTGTGCGGCATGATAAGCATCGTTGACAGTGAGATCAGGGTTCTGATACATTCCATAGGCGATGATCAGACTAGCCGATCGACTGGCTCCCTGCTGGCAGTGAACAAGGACCTTCTTCCCTTCCTTAGTCCTCTTATCGATCATTTCGCAAAGCGTCATCAAGTCATTTCCAATATCCGTGTTGTGATCCCATGGGATGTGAATGTACTCTGGCTCCTTGAGAGACTGAGCCTTAGGCGTAGTTGGAGTATCGCTTTCTGGGATAAACTCGAATGCTGTGGCAAAGCTGCAGGTGGTAGCCGCAGTATCAGGTACTGGGGAGTCAATATCTGGTCTCCCTTGGGAGTTCGAATCCTTTTTGCTTCCCATCCCAACCTTGAACGGGTTCGAGACCTCGCGCGCCACGTTGATGACCACATCAAAGCGAGCAGCTTCCTCCGCGGTGGGCTCAAGATACAAATAAACGTTATCGTTGTAAATGCATACTGGCCCATCGGGATAGCCAGGCGACTTCTGGTCCTCGTTATTCTCCACCTCGTGGTACGGGTCAACCTCGTATATCGCCTTGTTCGCAACTTGTGCCTTGATTGGCGCCTCTTCCTCCAGGATGGTAGAGCTCAAGCCACTGGGTGCCAATGGCCTCGATGGCCTGAAAAATTCCGACAGTCCAGATTCATTGCGCTCCAATACAGTCGGTATTGTCATCCCCCCTGCTGGACCAAACGTTGCAGACTTCAGACCAGAGAGCATGTGAGGGGTCGAGGCGGAATGCTTCAATGCACGGCGCTGGAGGATGGGAGGGACCGAAGGTGAAGGGGGCACCTCTAATGTTGTGCGGTTCATCAACTCTGAAGTGTTCGTCTTGAGGCTGAGCAGGCTTGGCTTCCGCTTCATGCCAGGAATTGTCGGCTTGATGAAGGACGGAGAGGAAGGCTCGGAAACCAGAGAAGAAGCAAGGGAGTTGAAGGGTGGTTGGATGGAAAGACCCTTCATGTTTTTGGGTCTCCGCGGCGCAGGCGAGGTCATGGGGCGTTGCCCAAGGTTGGGGTCCGATACCGAGAGACTGGCCATGCGAGACAAGTCGCTTGTGAAGGGTTGCATTGGCGCCAAGGTGGAAAGAGGTATTAGGTTCACTGGCGAGTCCGGGGAAGATGACGGAGACGGATCGGAAAGATCTGAAGAATCCGTACAAGACACAGTCGTAGTAGGCGATGATTCAGCCGACTCGGTTGCTCGGCTTGACGTGCTGTTGTGATGGTTGTGGGCAGCATCCGCATGCATTGCATTTGATCGTAGTTGGGCTGGCTGTGTATCACCGGGTAGTTTTTCGGACTCGAGGTGCATCACTGACTGCGGGTCGACCACGGTGATGGCACTTTGTTGGTCCATGCCCTCTGGGCCCAGGTCATACACGGACATGAAAGATGGGATCTGATCCTCATACAACCGCCGCGTCGTGGCCGAAGGCATGTTCGATACCTGGTGTGTGCAAACAGGCCAACTGTGGCCGTCGTGTTGGTGTGGACCTGGACTTGACCCTCGCTTGCTGCGGTCCAGTCGCAAACCACGATGTCGATATCGCAGAAAAGGATCCTGTCAGTTAATCTTGTCCGAAAAAACAACTAAGGAACTTTTAGATATCCGCTCCTGGTGATAAAAAAAAATAGGAACGAAGACGGATGAATCAATAAGGCCGTAAGTGTTGGTTAACAGCCAAATTTGAGGGTAAGCCGGGACAGCACTGCTGAATCCTCCTTCCTTTCCCCAACTGTAATCGACTTGTGACTGTGATCCCACCCGAAGGAAAACAATCAAGCCTGTGCCCAAGACAATGGCGCCGGGCAGCGAGGTAGAAATGAATTATGTGAATGCGCAGATGAAGAGCGCCGGTTGAAGTGGTTGCTGGTCGACACACAAGTCGCAATGAGGAGCCTCGCGGGTATCGAGATCGGACGAAAAGAGAACGGTTGCGCGAGGACGGGCTGGTGATCAAGGAGCCTTAGAGCGTCAAGACATTATTATTATCGGGGTCTGTCGAAAGGTCGTAGGGTCAGAGCCTCCGAGACGGCAGGAGAAGAAGAGCGGTCGTGGGGTCGTGGTTGATTGTGACAATCGAAGGACTGCGGAAAGACAAGCAGGAAGAAGAGGGGAAGAGGTTTCTTTGTCCTGGGCTTTCCAATTCAGACTGGTCCTTTGGCGTGCGCTGCGCGGTCCAAGCTCTTTTAGCGTCCTGGTACGTAAATGGTAACCTTTCCTCGTCGAGTTCGCAGGCTGAAAGGTGGAGGGATTGGGGTGGGAAGATGTGGAGGAGAAGAGGAGATCAGGAATTGGGGTGGAGGATGGGTGAATTACGAAGGAGGGTGGGTGGCCAGAAGGAAAATGGGAATGGTCGCAAATTCAACGAATTGGAATTCCGAGGCGAGGGTGATGGATACTGGGGACGAAGAAAGGTAAATGTGGGAGAGAAAAAAAAAAGGCGCCGAGGGAACCTGGAAGCGACCTCGGTCAAGCCTCGATTTCTTCCACTTTGGCGTGACGTTGTTGAAAAGAAGGAAAGAGGGTGTGGAATTTGTGAGGTTGTGTTCGTTGTGAACAAGAGAACAAAATTGGAAGCAGCGTGCAGAAAGCAGACAGCACGGGTGGAGAGGTGCTGCAGAGGGCTACTGCACTAGACGAGCGAACGACCTGTGACGGAGTGTCAGAAGTGCTTCGTTGCTGCGCTGCGCCCACGCACAGCAGGCACCTCCCTCAGGTTGAGCACACGCACCCACGGCACTCCCTGCTGGTCTCTGACGCGCTCACTCTCACACTGTAGGCAGGTACACGGTGCAGTGGGACCAGGGCAGAAGAACCTGAACGGGAACAGGGATCATTGGCCGTCGGCGACGCCTTTCCAACCTTGGATGTGGTTTCTAACCAGAAACAGCCTTTCCTTCGATGGGTATCCGCCCTGTCACGCTGAATACACTGCATGCTGCTTCACCATTGGCCGGTTACAGAGAAGCAACGCTTCAGTTCCAGGAGCCCACAGCTTGGGGCGACAAGTGCAAGTTACTGCGTAGAGCCCTGCTGCCCTGTGCTATCTTCAGCCCTTCACATGGATGTCCTAGCTTCCTCAGATGCTATCGAAAAATGGAAGGATATGGATATGTTCTTCATTTGGATCTCTCTCTTGCGCCCAAGCGAGCGAATAGTGTCGCTTCTTCTGTGCTGCTCCTCCTGGTTGCGTGCAGGCTGCTGGGTGCCCCTGGGTCAAGGGGGCATGCTTCATCACAGCCAATCAGAAGCACGTCGCAGGTGGCCTCCGGCCCTCCGCTGCCAGCTACAGCGGCCGGCGGCTACAGGTACGTCGACCTGACGGCTGGGGATTGGAGTTGGCTCCAAAAACAATGCACTGCTAAAAATAGACGGTGCGACGGCACGTGCACGCAAATTGTCGTGGTCCATGATTGGATGTCGCGCCTTGGTTTGATGGAAATGGATGACCACCCAGGCGCTCTTTCACTCTCTTTTGCTCAGCTTTCCCTTGTTTTGAGCAACCAGTGTGAGGATATTGTGGAAATCAAAGTTGGAAAAACAAGTGACATGATTGACAACAGTGTGACATGAAGTTGCTTTTGGAGCTTCACATTCGGCCATGTGCTTCCTTACGATCTTCACGAGAGGGATTCGTGATAAGTTTAGGCGATGCAGAGAGCTGACAACGACTGGCTCACATCTGCGACTCGTCCCCTAAAATATTGCCACTGGCGCTTACATACATAGCATGGGAACAGCTGCTACGCCGTAACCTAATCTTCTCGCTTCGAGGTCCGCGTGTCCGTCTATAGCCGCCGGTCGGAGATCTGGCCGGATGCTATTCCCATACCGGATGTCCGTCCGTCTGTATCCACTCCACGGAGCCGCAGTGCTCACACTAACGGAGCCGACTACACCACATCGCTCTTGTTCTGCAGAAAAGTCACAACTAAGGAAGCGGGGTCCCCGCCGTCCCAAGTGGAAGAGGAGCTTGGAGTAGTAGGTAGTCACGGTATGAATCAATCCCTCTGTATCCACCAAAAAAGTTTGGCGGCCAGTGTAGCATAGGAGTCCCCAAGGTAATATACAACACGCAGTATGTATACAGACAAGACTGAGACATATTGACTCGAAAGACCCCTTCGATCATGTCTGTTAGGTCTGAACCTTGTGTTTAAGATATGAATTATTTGTATTGCTTCCTATGGCTTCGAGCCAGTTGATGATCACACGTCTCGTGGAATTTGCATTTGGAACCGACGCGCGCTGCTCCATGTGCACTCACTCAGCGCAGCGATGGATCTCCAAAAAGTACCTAGGTACAGTGCGTTGCAGCATCCTTTTCAACTGTGTCCATGGCAAAATTTCTCGGTTGGAACAGGTGGAGTAATTAACCACAGTACCCGACAACCAATCACACACCGATCCCAAAAGCTGAAACAAGAGCGGAGACAAGGCAAGGATAACCGTTTAGCTGATCGTGGAGTTCTCCTCGCTGTGGAAGCTGGCTCGTGTTGTTGGGGAGACACTTGGACCAATTCCCACTCTCATCGAGAGCGGAAAACCTTTCTCCGGGTTCACCACAACCGTCGCCTCTTCAACATCGACCGTGATCGACGAGCTGTGCACGCCGATCTGTTATTTTTCCAAAGGTCGGTCACTCCGATGATCATCACGGGGATGACCTTGGGAAAAATCGACGCATCACGAATTCTCCAAGACGGATTGATGATGTTGTCACAGTAGAAAAGCATCCATCTACCCTACTGCATAGTATGGACCCCTTCTCTTGCCTTGCAATGCCTTCCTTGTTGACACTGGCCCGATACTGTACATGCACACATTCCAAACCTGTGAGCGTGCATGAGACATCTCAGATACAACCCAAATGGCTCCACGTTCACGATTGTAATGTGTCTCCCGCCTCGAAAGATTTACATAAAGTAGTGTAGCCTCTTGTAAAGATGGAATGCGACACTCGGAAAGCCCACCACTCGTTTGACCCAAGAGATGACAGGTTTCGGCGGCGCCGCATGGATTCGGTCTCGGCGGCCCTTCGATGAAAATGCCCTTAAAACGGTCTGGGCCGGTCTGCTTCTAGCAGCGTTATTTGCAACATACATGTGCATCCAACGAGACGAAACCGCTTTGGCAGTTCCATACATCACACACCGGTAACCTGTATCGCCGTATGGTACCCATCTCGCCTGGTCCAGTCCTCAGATCCGGGCTCCAGTGCCTGTCGGTTCCAGGTTGTAAACCTTGGCGATTGCTCCCGAGACATGGAATCAAAACACCAGTTTCGCCAGCACAGAAACCGCTGCGCTGTAGAGACTTCGCCTATGGGATACAGTTCGTGACCTGGCCGCCGCCATTTTTCAGTCCCCAACTTTGCGAGTCTTCAGACTTCGGCACACAACCGATCTCCGCAACCAGGACCAATCCTCCTGGTCCTGTACAGACCGGACGGATCACCACATCCGAGAAGAACCGCGGAAGCAGGATGTCGGCCATGCTTTCGGCTATCGACGTTTACGAGACAGCTGGCACGCCTGAACCACCTCACAGAGGACCACTTCAAGTTACAGTACCCGGCATTGACCAGTTGCCGGTCGCTTCGTGCGGATCTCGTAGACCCTTCTCTTTGCCCCCTTCCCCTGGTCGATTTCCGCCTATCTCTGCAGGAGATCGGAACCAACCCCAATACAGACGGGAGGAGGTTTCGTGTCGTCGTCACCAGGATCGCCTTCAGCCTCCGCGCATGCCACTTGCTTAGCCCTGGGACTCTTGGACGTGGAGAGAGCAGCCCAGATCAGGCTAGGCTGGGTCAAGTCGCGCTATCATGGGAACCTCTCTGGTGTTGGAGTGCCCATGGTGACGCGTAGCTCTTTTCTCCAAACTTCCTTCTACCACGTTGACTGCTCCTCAACCTTTCACTTATCGTTAGTTCTACCGCTATATGGCAGTTAACATGGGGATAAAACATATTCGCTTCTGCTCCGGCCTCATCCTCGCGTAGATCCCCCCTCGCTTACACACTCGCAAGCCTAGCCTCACAGGCCAAGCCAAGGGGTAACCTTATGAATTGTTTTTTTTTTTTTTTTTTTTTTTTTTTTTTTAACACCGGTTAGCAAAGAAAAGCCTTTGTCGAGCACGGCAGGGCCTACCTTTTAATTGACCCCCCCCCCCCCCCCCAAACTCTTTGCTAGAGCACGGGGGGATAGGGGGGTTTGGCCGGTAGGAGGTCGCCATGAAGCACTGGGGTTCAAGGTAGGACTCAGGAGCCCAACAAGGGGGACGTGGGGGAACATTACCTAACTAGTGTACCGGAGACCCGTCTGACCATAAGGTCCTGATGACACGGCACGCGCGGCATCACGGGGTCGGGGTGACATATTACCCTCTGAATATAATATCGAACCCCCAATATTAATGAGGAATCAATGCGAACTGGAGACGTCGCTTCCCAAACCTCCGCATAATATGTAAACGAACGGAAGAGAGAGAGAGAGAAAAGAGGCAGGTGACATGCGGGGTCCAGTTGAAGACGGGTTGGGCGTGTGGGCAGACGGTAGATTGCGCCGCCTCTTAGCCGTGGTCGACTCTTTTCAACACCTTCTCCTAACGACATGTAACCATTAGAATACTGCTGATTCAGGTACCGAACAGACTCACTCACTCATTTTAGCGCTATAGCACATGCACGAGAAAGCTGTCGACTGCAAGGTGTAGAATAGAGGTATTCTAGATTATGATGACATTCAACATCCAATGATCGTCCACTTGCCCCTTTGCAGGTGGAAGAGACAGCCCAATCAGAAGCCTGAATCGCCGGCTCGCCCTACCAGACCCTGAACCACTATAGTCGTGCAGTAAGGTACCTAGTCTTCCGCTTCTTAGCTTCATGCGCACATGGCCAAAGAGGAGCCGGAAAAGAAGGACTTAGCATTGGCCTTCTTCTTGAACTTGTTGTAAAGGGTTTCTTGAGACTCCTTATAGGCTGGTGTGATGACGGCTTTCGGACAAACGACAAAGTGAAAACCCACCCCCTCAGTCCCCCCTTCGTTCCGTTCCCGCAGTTCTGGATCCCCAATCGATCCCTTGCTGCTGCCCCCAATGACTGATGACGATCGACTTTTGGACGCCCAGTTGACGGGCCGTCTATCTGGAGGCGGGATTGCAGAATCATTCCGCAGCTCCTTGGCTTCCAGTTGACGGCGCACGCCCTGCAGAACACTTACATATAGTATCTTCCGGTACACGATGCAGCAGTTCTGCAGCTCGGGCCAATCCCGTCATCTTATACCAATCCGAGTGGAGGGAGGGCTCGTCGATATTCGAGTCGTGTGTGTCTGGCATTAGTGGCATGAGGTAACCGTCAGGTGTCTAGGAACACTCAACCCTCTCTTCCAACCACCAGTCGCCTCACCCGTGACTTGACTGTTGTGTTGGTATGTGTGTCAACGCCATCAATTTCATATTTCTCCTTGCTTGGGAGCTGCTCACCGACCATCTGTGCTCGCTCATGCTCATCTAGGGTTGAGACCGCCCAAGTCAAGTCGCATCACCCGTTCATCTTATTTCATCGGGGGTTATCGTGCTGGGTACGAGTGGTCTCCTCGCTTGTCATATCAAGTTCTCTCCACTCTTTTCCACCCTCATCCTTGCCGCCATCATCTTGTTTACTCCTTTGCCCTTTTACAAGTTTCGTTATCGATTGCAATTTTAATATCTTGTATATCCACTCGGGCCATGAGTTAAATGTTCAAAGCCTGTATACAGTTCATGCGCACGACTGGGCCGCCGTTAGCCCAAGGGGATCACGCCTTGTTCTCCCGTGGACAAAGTCCCGTGTCATTGTCATGTCAACTGAGAGTGGAAGCCAATCCAACCACAGATTGCGTGGAATCTAACAAGAAGAGGCCCGAATACCTAGCCCAAGACGATCTATTAGGCGTGGATCGGTTCAGGGGAGACAGGGGATTTCCGAATTGCGCAGTGGAGGAACAGGCACGTCAAGTGCCCACAGTCCGGGATTCGAGAGCAACGGCGTCGAACGGCGCGGGTCCAGTTTTTGCAACATGACATCGTCCAGTTTGGGGGGCCAGGGCCTTGCCCCTGGGGCTGCTTCCACATTTCACTTCACAGTGGACTCGTTCAGCTTCCAACCCACAGGACGCACACAATTGCGCAGAAGTGGAAGAGGAACCGGCACCAACAAGGGCACGGACAGCGCCGGAACTCGAACTCCAGGGGGCAACAAGCACAATTCAGGTTCCGCCGTCATCACCTCCAATTCCAACACCAACCAGCTGCCTGGGCCTGGATCCAACCTTGACACCTACAACACCGGCACAACAACTGCCAGTACCACGGCTTGCCTAGCAACCAGCAACGGCATTGCCGTACAGACTGCTGATGACCATCATACGCACCGTCAAAACCACAACTCATCCAAACTTCCCGCTTTTCGCTTCGCCGACCTGAAAAAGGACGCATCACTTTTCCCCCCTTCGCTGCAGCCCATCCACATCCCACCTTCACCTAATAATAAATCTAGACGGGCCTCTGTCTCGTCGACAGCTGGAGTCCCTGCGCAATTACCCTTTGACCTACAGCTAGGCGCACCTGCCAGTCCACCACAATTTAACCAACAAAAGCAACCCCAGCCGACTAGCCTGTTCCATCACAATTTCGTCAAACGCCCGCAGCTGTCTGCTGAAGAAGAAGAACGATCCGCAGAAACACCGCCAAGACAAGCCCACAAGCGATTACAAGACTCTGCTGCCATTCGAGCCTCGACGTTCCAGCCCTTTTCGCCAACAGCACAAGACTCGTCTATTGGCTCAAAGCGCCCAGCCTCTTCCGTCTGCGATAGCCATAGTGCCGCCAGGGGCCCGTATGTGTCGAGATACCGGCCTGCATCTATCGTAACGCCCATTGGGAAACGTCGCCAAACGACGTCGATCGGACTTTTACCTTTCATCGATACTGCGCAGGGCCCACGCGAACCGGTACCGCCCGCGACCATCAAGTTGAGCAAGGTTAATGAGAAGAGGAGATCCCGTCCGCCAGCCTCTTCCAAACCCGCCATTGTCCCGAGTGCCTCCGGTCGCGACTCCGGAGGGCAAGCAAGCACTTCCCCGACCCGGTCGTTACGCTCTTCGACATCTCGCGATAACCTGTTCTTCGACTCCGACTACGATCCCGGGCGCACTGTGGGCGATACAAACGAGGGGGACATGTCGAACTCAACCCAGAGAGACCGCGCATTGAGGGCCCTGGAGGGCAAACGGGATGACGACATGTCGCGAATGACACCACCAGATTCAGCTACTGCAGCTTCCGACAATGAAAATACGGCCGAGATCTTCATGAATATTGCCCGCGAGGATCCAGCACCTCGGCCGGCGCAAACCCGGACCGAGGATCAGAGCGCAATTGTAAGTCGCTTTGTTTGGGGTGTTTGCTATTCGCCCTTGAAAATTGCGCGGTAGCTTATTGGCTAATTGGCGGACAGTCACGCATAAACCGGAATTCCTCCCATCGTCGACCACTGTCTACAGCGATACCATCATATCAGACATCATCACCGCCCCAGGTAGCCAACCGCCGACTTTCTGATTCCCGCGACACAACATCGTCCCGAAGCCGGCTGCTTTCAGACCCACAAGCAGCCCGAGAACCGAATCTTCGAGGTATCCCGAGAGATCGCCTCATCACCAACACAGCTCAGGAGGACCTCGGTCGCTCCCAGTCTGTCCGAACGTCCCTCAGACAAGCCCCGCCAACCCCCCGGCAGATAGCGTTTCAGGATGCTTATGAGGCGGGCGCCGGACTTACACGAAGATCGTCAATTGCTGACATCTCATCTGTGGGGAGGAATTCGCAATTTCGGAACTCGAATCTTGCCGTTGGCGGCAGGATTTACAACTCGTCTCCATTGGTCCCCCGAGCTCCTGAGCCACAAAGACCGGAAACCAGTCAGAACGCGGAGACCAATCAAAGCGCAGAAGGGACGGATTCTTCGACATCGACGGCGGACCCCTCCACGGTTTGGGATGAGCTGGACGACTTGAAGTCTCGCATTCACAGGTTGGAGCGAACGGGGAAGAAGCCACCGGCGGGGGCAGGAAATTCCAGGAGCTCAGAGGAGCGTCCACCTACAGCGACGACCAATGCTACAACCATGTCCGCGTCGCCGAAGCGTGGATCGGGAGGGACTACTGTTAACCACGGAGAGACGGCTAGTAATGCGTCATCACGGGAAACACAACCCATTCTCCTCTCAGCCCTGTTGAAGACAAAGGGTCTGATCAGCGCTGAAGTTTTCAATGCCATTGAGTCGGCAGCAAACGACGCCTTGGCTTTGACTTCCATGATTGGTGCTGCCGGGCAGCCGGGGCCGATATCGAGCGGCGCGAGTGTTGTTGGGGGCTATGGTAGTGGTGTCACGGATCGGCAGCTCCGAAGGAAAGCGGATAGCATCTGCAGGAGCTTGACTGAGCTGTGTATCGCATTGACGGATGAAGCTAATCAGTCCAAACCAGCTCAGTCCGCAGCTCCCAACCGCGAGACTGAAAAGGTCATAACACCAACAACGGCGGCCAAGTTCACAGGCATCACAGGCCGGCGACGATCGAGTATTATGGTAGAGACAGCATTGCCACAACCGAGCGTCACTAGTCCTAGGGCTCCAACGACAATGGAACAGCGAAGGATATCACTTTTGGCTGCGAGTGCTCTGCCGAGTCCCAGGACTTCAGCCGTGCCAGCTACCCCAGTTGACTTTGGTACACCCGGGCGAAAGTCGTCCTTGCTATTGGCTCGGAACCGTCGGGTTGCGGTAGAGGAACCGGAGGAGCAAGTCAATGGCAGGAGGTCGTCGTTGCTTTTGAGGAGCCGGAGAGTAGGACAAGAGGAACAAGATGAGATGCCTGCCGAGGGCCGCAAGACATCTTTGCTGCTGCGTTCCCGAAAAGTCTTTAATGAAGAGGACGAGGACCGGTATCGCACCCCGTCCAGGGCCATAACAGAGGTCAATGGATTGCGAGGTACTCCACGCGAACTCACCAGTCAAGCTTCGTCTCCTCCCGACAACACTCCGCTTGGCTCTTCGGCTTTGCCCCGCAGGCGCATGGTCCCTACCTCGATAAGTTCGAGGCTGAGCGCTCCCACTGCTCCTGTAATACAACCTTTGGCCAGCCGTCGATACCTCGACAGAACAGCAGGTGGAGAGCGGGAGACCATTGTGGCCAGCAGCTACGCGGAAAGGCTTGCGGAGGAGAGGGCGCAGCGCCAGCTGTCGCTGGGCCATACGGTGATGCTCAATCGGACGGGTAGTATCAGCCGACGGACGCGTGACTCGGGAATACCCAGTATTTCCACGTCGAATTTGCAACATCAACAACAACAGCAGCAGCAAGCCAGCGCGCAGCAGGTTGGCGGATACAGATGACGAGAAGGAGCTGAGGAGAGGAGGTAATGGTGGCGCTGGCGGTGGGGGGAGTGAAAAAAATTGCGGGAAATTCATGCCCCCTTATGACGTTCAGACCATGCTGTTCATGAATGTAACAACAACATCAACAACACTTTCGACATATACCATTTGGGCGTGGGGCGTTATCTTTTATTATACCTTGTTCATTCCCCTTTTTTTCTCTGTCTTTCGTGTTTGTCTGATTGACTAAAACGAAGCGGAAAGTCGGGAGGAACCCACATCCTACACACACTCTTTCATTCGATCTATCTTCTGAGGGGCACCGAGGGGCTAGAGAAAGCCTCGTTTTGTTTCTTTTCTTGACGACGACGCCTAAAGAAGGCGTAACACATTACCACATCTCTTTGTAACGAATTTCTTTTGTCAGATCATCCGTACCTTTACGGGCGACGAAAAAGGGGGAGAAAAGGAACTGTTTGGACGGACAGCATACAGCATTGCACGTTTTGCAATGCATGCATACATCAACGGTACCTTATAAGATGAAGTTGTTACATACTAAATACCCTGTTTCATACATACATGTGAATACGCGGACGGACGGGGCTACGGTGACATGGTGAGGGTAGGATGGTTTACAATTCAACGCGGTGGTTTGTTGCGCGAATGCGATAAGGTCTACACTATAACTTTGCGAGGATGTGGTGGGCTTGTTTGATATCTTGGAATTTTGATCCAATCATTTCTAGCTTTTTGTACTTTGCTCCGACCGTTAGTCTAGTGCAGTATGGGCGTCAGCGTGCATCACCGTCGTAGACATAATTGTTGAGCAGCAAAGCGAAAAATTGGATGTATTCCAACTTTAAAAAACAAGAGTATGATATCCCCAAGGTCTCCCTCCAACTTTGGTAAGCTTAGCGAAGTGTAAGTTGAGCTCGGCAGTGACTCATGTCGGCGTGGCATACTTTACAGTTTTCATCTTGTATCGTTGAATCTGTTCAAGTTCATCAATCGTCAATGAAATGATGCTATTTGTCCGAATGAAGCCTTGGTTGTATTTGGGGCGAACTGTAAAGGTCAGCATGATTTCATGATGCGGGTTTTCATGCGCAGACTTACGGACTCTGGCAATTGAACCAAACGGATCATTGTGCCAATTATTTTGTGCAGACGCACCTCATCCAGTCACACTTCATCCATCTCATCCCCTCTTCAATCAATCAACCTCGTTTCTTTCCATCCAACTCGTCGAAACCAAGCACGACGAGACGAGGTTCTTCAAGAATCTGGATGAGAAAGTGCGTTTGTGATTTGTGATCTCTGGCTGCCTACCCTGGCTTGAATCCAAACTTGGTCATCCACTCAGTGACCCCCAGTCTAACCGCTAACAAGAATTTTTCATTGCATCCAGCATCGGCAACAGCAACCTTTTGTTGACTGCTGCTGGGGGTGTTGGAAAACTTCGATTCACTATTACTCCAACTCATCCGCGACTTTCAGGACCGCTCATCGCCGGGCAACAGAGTCGCGCTTCCATTCACAGGTACTTGATCTCTCAACATCAAGTTTCTCCGTTTCAAAGGGCAACAACCCACCACTAACCCGCTCACAGCACCACAACCACAACCACAACCATCGCCAAAACCACACCCCATCACCGCCATAACCATCATCACAAAATGGCTTCCCCCGCCGAAGACCAAGCAACTCACCACCAAGACCGCGCCGACCGCGCCTCCCACTCCAACCGTGGCGGCGGCGGCGGCGGTCGCGGTCCCAAATTTGGTGGTCATGGCGGTCATCGCAAGGGTGGTCGCGACGTCGACCTCTCGCGCGCCTTATCCCGCCTGCTCCGTCACCAAGCCGCCTCCGCAGGCATCACCCTCGACGCCGAAGGGTACGCGCCTCTGGACAAGGTTCTCGCATGGGGCCCGATTCGCTCGCTGAAGCCGACGTTTCCAGAGATCTTGAAGGCGGTTAAGGAGAGCGATAAGCAGCGGTTTGCTATCAAGCTGGCGCCGGGAAAAGAAGAAGAAGAAGAAGACAAACAAAGAAGTGAGGAGGCGGGGGATTGGTTGATCAGGGCAAATCAGGGACATTCGATCAAGTTGGAGAGTGAAGGGTTGTTGAGGCGGTTGGTTTTGGGGGGTGGTGGGCAGCAGCAGCAGCAGCAGCAGCAAGGCCAAGAGACGACGGAGGGCTCGGAGGGCCAAGAGAGAGAAAGGGAAGATGGAGGAACCATACCGATCCCCGAAACGGTCGTCCACGGTACGTACTTTGCTTTTTGGGACAAGATCATCCAGAGCGGCGGACTCAAACCTATGGGTCGGAACCACGTGCATTTCTCCACGGGTTTACCGGAGGATACGGAGAGGGGGGTCATCAGCGGGATGAGGAGCGATGCGGAGGTGTTGATTTTTGTGGATGTCGAGAGGAGTATCAGGGACGCGGAAGCGGAGGGGGATAAAGAAGGAAAAGGGATCAAGTGGTGGATGAGCGACAATGGGGTGGTGTTGACGGAGGGCGATAAGGACGACTTGGTCCCGCTTAAGTATTTCAAAGAGGTTAGGGGGAGAAGGCAGGGCGTGGGACTGTTGTGGAAGGATGGACAGAAGGTGGCGGATTTGCCGGAAGGGTTGGAAATTAGAATGCCGATGGGTAAGGGGAGGGCTGCTGGTGGTGGTGGTGGTGGTGGTAAGAGAGGGGGACGTGGTGGTGGAAGGGGAGGTGCCGGGAAAGGAGGAAGGGGGAGAGAGGAAAAGGGAAATGGTGAGGAGGCCAAGCCTCTGGAGACCGATTCGCAATAGGTGGATGGGCCGATAGACTCTACCTCTACCTACCTACTACGCGGTAGAGGGGACAGAAAGAAGAAGTCACGAATCAAAACGAGCACGAAGGGCTTCAAACTGGGATACCGGACCTGGTTTTGTTTTTGAAGCAGTTGTAAAATTCCATAGCAATGTAGCCACCCAATGCCGCAAAATGGTCCAGACGTAGCCATATTCTCTCCCAACCACTGGTTATCGCAGGGACTATGCGTCAAGGCACTTTTGTGTTGTTGGTCATAGTACATAGACAGAGACGGCAAGGAAAGATGGAACGGAAATGATGGAATCGAACTCGTTCGTTAAATTAAGCGTCACCGTTGCCTCCACGAATTAGCCCGTACCTGTGAAAACATATGCAGCCATCCCTTTCCATCTCATGTCCCATACCGGCCCATACACAGTTCGAGAACCCATGACTTTCGCCTTTTCGCCTTTGAACACCTGCCTACTAAAAGATCAAGTGACGACTGCCACCCTCTAGTAAGGGTATGATGATTGGCAGGTGTCGCTCTGTATGTTTTGTAGAGGATACACAGAAATATGCAAGGAAATTTGTACAAAGGAAAGAATTGGATATAAAGGAAGATATGGATCAGAAGGAGAAGAAGAAGAAAAACGTGTATGCGTCTCAGATGTACTAGAAGTTGAGGTGAAACTCGTGAGAGTTTCAGTATAGTTGCATAGAAACGACAAAGAAAATGGAATCTTCATCGGAATTGTTCAGAATTAAAGATGAGAGATTGATGTTGCTGGTTGTGTTGTTGATCTTGTTGTTGTTGCTGCTGTTGCTGATGTTGTTGTTGCTGACTCCTCTTCCACGCTTCTCTCTGGTAGGATCTTCTCGCAGCTGTTATCATCACCAATCATTAGCCTCGTTTTCCTCATTTTTGACCTTCATATCAGTTGACAGAGGGGAAGGGGAAAAAAAAAAATAACTCACCCAGCTCCCTAGCCTTATCCCTATGCTCCTCCAACACCCACTCATTCTCACTCTTGATCAACTCCTCCGGACACCTCCACATAAGTCCAATCGGGTGTCCCAACACTTTGGCCGCCTGCCTAACCTGGACATGAACAGTCTGGAACCTCACACCTTCGTACTCGTCCCACGTCAACGGCAACATCTTGCCCGGGTTCTCCGGATCGTACCGGGGCCGCTCGTCAAAGATGAGCGAGAACTTGTCTCCGTCTTCGGTTCGCGGCAGCTTGGCGTTGAGCCGGTAGTAATTGCAGTTCAACCCACCCGCAGTCCGGTAAAGACCGGGGAAACGGGCGTTGTACCGCTTCTCGATCTCGGCCCAGGGAAGCTCGAGGTCGTCTTTGTGGTAGATGATGAAGAGATTTTGCTCGTTCGTGTACTGGATGTTTTGCTTTTTGCCTCTACTACTACTACTGTTGCTGCTGCTGCTAGCGTTGGAGGAGGTGGTGGGGAGGTTTTCGTCCTCGTCGGGAACCTCGGATGTTTCGTCGTCTGTGGCAAAGCCAGGCGAGCATGATGATGAAGAAGAAGAAGAAGAAGAAGAAGAAGCAGAAGAACCAGACGAGCAGGTGGACGACTTGCGGTCGCTGTTGCGGTGCAGAGCGGCGGCGCTTTTGTATGGTGAGTGTCTGCTTGTCGTGCGATGAGTCCTGCTTGGGCGAATTTGAAGTTTGTTGCTGATGTTGCAGGACGACAGGAAGCGGGCCGAAGCATTTTCAAAGGCCGCCGATGCTTGTCTCTTTTTCTGAGGAGTGGTGGCCGACAGCGTAGCAGAGAAGTTCTTGTAGCACACGTCTGGTACGGAGTAGGACCGTGGTAGGGAAGAGGATTGTTGGCGCTGTGCTTGGCGTGGGAATGATGATGATGATGAAATGCTGCAAGTCGGAGATGGCAGCGGGGTGAAGATGCCTTGCTGGAAAGGTGTGAAGCGTGAAGTATAATCCGGGGATGCCTGGGGCCGATGCTGGCTGAGCTGATGCTCAAAGGGTGAGGGTACGGCATTGAGAATGTGAGAAATGGGCGGGAGAGAGACCTGCTGCTGCTGGGGTTCGAGCAAACTGCGCATGCTTGGCCCTGGGCGAGTATCCAAGTAGGTGCTGCTTGCCTTTCTCTTCAAGTCTGATCCAGCAGAGGACACTGATGAAGTGATGGAGAGATTGGAAAGTGCTCCGGAGAAGTAGTCCGAGTCGACTGATGGCCTTCTGCTCCATGATACCGACTGGAAGCTACAACTTGGGCTCAACTGGATCGAGTTAGGGGTCGACGGTGGCGATGGGAAGCTCAATTCGTTGAGTCTGAGGTTGGGGAGTTTGAGAGGAGCGAGTGTCCTCGACTCAAACTCTTCCCGAGAGGACAAATGGCGTGAAGTTTCTGAAGACATGGTGATGACTTGTGGTGCTGAAGTGTATCTTTGAGGTTGTCAATGATGACTGAAGTAAACCGATGCCGTGACAGTGTCGTGGATTTGACGAGGTGGGATTCGGAGCGGTTTATGTAAAGACTTTGTCGACTTTGGGGGTCCAAAGCGAGGCAAACGAGAGACAAGAACAGACAGTGTGATGATACAAAGCCAAGTGTACAGGTGATGCTTGTGGACAATCCGAGACCCTGGATGGAGATCATCAAGGGACCTTTTAACCCTATATACATAACGAATGGGGTCTGGAGGAGAAGGGGAGGAGGAGCAGGAGCAGGAGAGGGGGGGAGTAGCTATGACATCTGCAACCTGGTCGCCTCCATCGTCTCGAAGACAGACATCCCCGTAGATGTGGCAGATAGAGATCTTCCCCCATCGCATTTGGCAGCATGCGAGTTTCACGATAGTATAGACAAGCCCGGCAGCCCAAAGATAGTCTAGCCTATCCGTAATCAATCGGCATGCATTATTTATCCCAGTGCAGCTGGCCAGGAACTGAATGAGCGACAGGTACTTGAGGTAGCAGTCCAGGTAGGATAGACAAGTGGGGATCACTAGTACGCAGATCCTACATGAGTTGACTGTCTAGTGTCTTTCCTAACGTGCGTGTCTGTTGTTGTCACCCATCAGCGGTAAGGCCATTACGATTGATCTCTCTCTCCTCATCGCCTTGTCAGGCTCCGTTCTGCCCTACCACTTATGCTCACCCTACAAAGACACCATGTCGTCGACGTGGGGACCCCATATTCGCCAAGCGGCCGTTGGCGGACGGTTATGTCAACATTTGGACAACGACACGCACTTTCCAGTTAGATGAGTACACTACACTAGTAGAGGTATGTGGCAGTAAGGGATGTCGGTGTTGTTAACTGTGGTGGCCCCGGCCGGGCATTGCAGCCAGGACGTCAGAAGGACAAGTTCTCTCATGAGCGGTATAATGTCTGAGACAAGCAGGCGGCGAATTAGTCCCAATCAGCCGCCGAGGTACTTAGCAACGTTCGTCCGGGGGCCCGAGAACCATGCATTGTTGACTCCGGCTGCTCAAGGGGTATTACTCAGTTGCGGGGCGGGAACGAACTGGTTTTGCTTCTCCCAGGCGTACTATGAAGTCCCCAACAAGCTTCATCCATATAGTTTGGCACCTATCTGTTTCCAAAAACCTGGAACTTGTAGTCATCATGGTTATTGGGACAGCAGCAGATGAGGGATATTGTGATATAGCGGTCATCGAAGTTGAGCTCGGCATTGAGGGCCAAGTGGAAGGAAGGGTAACCCAAGGAGACCCAGGCCTGGAACCCACCGTTGTAGACGACTCTCGTGTCCAGCAGTACTGTACCGCATTCTGGAAGAGGCAGTGATTTCGGGGAGCCATAATGCTTGGGCTGGTCTTGTCTTTTTGTTGGAGGGAGAAAACGTCCGGGATCGACTGTGTGGTGGCGTAGCATCTCGCTTTCGACATCCGAACGCCGGTCTACTTGGTGGAAGTACCTCATGTAGGTGGAAACTCTGAAACTCTTTGCTTATTCGACCAATGGGAACGTTTGGGTGTGGTTGAAGAAGGCAGATCTGTCCACTTGCGGTTAGCGACGTTTGTTGAATGGGTTTTTAGCAATGGGCGTGAGTATTCATGTACGTAGATTTGGGAAAAGGCGAAAGAGGAATACCATGTACCTATGACAGACCCCTTTACACCGTGCGTATCGGACTTTGCCTGACTTCTCACATGCATATTGCGTCTGCGTAGCCATGGCCTTGGCAGAAGGAGTGACAGAATTGTGATACACCAATCACCAAAAACCATAACCAAAGCGAAGGGCGCCTTTGTCTTTGGTTTTCTGGGAAATAGAATGGCAGTTGAAGCCTCGTGTTGTACTTAAAGAAGGACCGGTTAATTCTGAACAGAATGAACTCCATGGTAGGCACTTTGGTTGAGGTTTGAAGGTGCAAGTCTAGGCCAAGAATTGAGGGTCTTTGTTCATGATGGATGTCCAGAATGGTAAAATGCGCATATGTTGGTCAGTTTGGGTGTACCCTTAATTCTGTCACCCCCTTGCTTGGATGGCATATCGGAGCCATACCACTTTCAGTTCCAGGTGCATTTTCATCCTCTCCCCATCCATGGTGGTGCGGAAGAGATTTCCCATATTGTGCAACACTCGTCGCTCAGAGAAGCTCAACCCCGTCAACTTCCCCCTCATTTTGCACTTCTTAGAGATTAGAGCCGGGGATAGTGACCAATGTCAGCGATTGGACCGTCAACCGATTCAGCTTCAACTAAAGATTCAGGTCGGTGCATTAGTTGGTTGGCTCCACATAGGTACCCTCAAGGGTTGGGCTGCGTGGTGTCTGGCTTTTCACCAGCCGCTGTGTGTGTGTGTGTGTTGTTGTCTGGCAAGTCACAGGCACATCCCCTTGCAGGTCTGCAGCGCGCGGATTTCTTTCCGGATCCACTTTCTCGCAAGGAAGAGCCCTTTGCAGCGAACCCAGCTGTCTGGTACACCCGTGGCGGTTGCTTCGTGGTTGTCAGTCTGGTAATGTTCATAGAGAGGAAATAAACATGTACTGGTTCTAGCCAAAGAGGTGGTGGTGCTGGCACTATAGAAAACCACCCAGCTCGTAGCCGAATACGTCTATAGGCAGTGCCAAAAACGATGAAACTCGCGTCTTGTTACCAGAAAGGTAGCGTTCCCCTCAGCTTAAGCCACAGTCACACGTTGGGGAGCGGGAAGATGAACCCCAAGACGCCGCCTCCAAACTTTTGCTGGGACCCAACCTAGAGTCGTAGGTCGATATCCGGGGGAGGTTATGGTACCGGATGGGCGGATCTGATATCGGCAGATCCGGTAACCTTTCCCGAATATTGGAGTGACTGATACTTCGGCCATTTTGAGTAGTGTTATCAAAAAAAGGCAGTGCCCTACATATGTCTTCCGTCCTTCGTGTACTCATACGTGGGTTTACCGCCCGTGATTGGTAGATACCCAGCTGTGTGTCTACTGGATGGGCAATTTCCTTCTCTTCCCTTGTCTTGCATCAAACTCATTCTCGACAGCAGTGAGAATCCCATCTTGTCCAGACCATGGATCTCGATCGACATTTGCATAGCTGCATGATGTTTTGATGCTGGGGATCCGCTTCCTCGCTCGCTGTTGTCCAGGGTGCTAGTTGGTGGATGAAATGAATAGATAGTGCACACTACCATTCGGGGTAGCATCGTTTTTACCACAGCCCGGGAAACTGGAGTGGGAACGTGGGCGGTTAGTCGTTAGACGGGAATGACGAGACCTGACACAAACGGGACGATAAGCATCACAATGCCTTGAAGTCGGTTGTAGTGCGCACCACTTTTGGTGAACCTGAACAACGTGCTTGACACCAGTAGTATGAGGTTTTCATGCTCTTCGGTGTTCAGTGCGGGCGGCATCTAACACGGTCTTGATATACCGTGTGAATGTGCAGAGCAACGTCAATGTCACGAGGCTTGGCCGTAAATGACTACATTAGTCAGTATACACTATCAACTTCAAGATATGCAGTCGCTAGTGTGATGTACGCGTAGGGCTATACGCGGCGATAGTAGAATCCATAGTGTAGCCACCATTTTGTGGTGTAGAGGCCTTGATAGAAATCATGGGCTATATAATAACCAATAAGAAAAACGCACTCGGAACTATACCTTGCAACTGCGTAATCCGATAGACGTCAAGTCTGACTGAATTGGGAAAGGACATTTCCAGGGTCCTTGAGCTTGGTGCGGTGCCCGAACACAACGGGCACGGTATGTAGTCCCTCTCCAGCCTGACCGTTCTTGGAATGTCGACTAGTCCCGTCGGTCATAGCCTCATATAGGTAACGCCATGCCTGGTTCTCTCTTGTCAAAAGGAAGGCACTCGTTGAGTTAACTCGACTCGGCATTCGCTTGTGCTTTTTTTTTTTTTTTTTTTTTTTTCGGTGGCCTTGACATTGCTTCGCGGTCACAGAAGAGTAACCAGTTGATAGTGACGACAAGGGAGCCGACAAGATCGGATCTCATCTCGATGATCATCAATTACTCTTGCATTGCATCCTGCCAATCTGCTCTGTCCACTCTCACGGGACTCGCAAAGCTGGACTAGAAAAGCTAGGTTTGTACTGTTTGTCCAGCATTGGGCGGCTCCATCTCTTTGCGGTTAGCTTTCCTTTCCTCCAGTCAATCCCCTTGTTTACTTTGGTTGCTGGGCCTGTAAACAGTCGAAAAAGGCTGCAAGGGATTATTCGCAGCCACTGCGCACCGCCAATATCTCTCAGCGAGATAGGGCCGTGTGTCAACCGCCATGGAATTAAAAAAAGATTCCCTGGTTTTCGACATGGAAGAGGAGCAGGAGGAGGAGGGGAACATTGTGATGTGTCAGTTTTTCCGTACCGCCCTTTAACATGAAATCTGATTACAACCACGAGACACATCTTTCCCCCGTCTATTCTCTCATCTCGCGCTGCCACGCCATTGCTGCGGAAGAGTGTAATGCAGCAAGGTTACTGCTTCTCTCTGCCTCTCTGACCGCCTCTCGATTACGCACAGCTGACGAAAGTTTGGGTGGGAGGGAAAAGAAAGGACATTGTGGGAGTGATTGGATAGGCCTTCAAGAAACGCTTTTCGATAATGATGGTGACACCTATGGGATGGAGGAGTGAGAACTCAAATTCGTCATCGGTCGAGAGATGACGGGTAACATTCCCGTGCGGTGGTGCAAGAACCAAAGAGAAACGATAAACTCTGAAGAAGAAGAAGCAAAGAAAAGGTTAACTCAACCAAAGGGTACGTTTGATGAGAAGGCTTGAAGTGGCGTTTGTGTAAGAACTGTTTCGGACCCGGTTTTTTCGTACACACTATTGTGTTCGCATTATTCCTCCTCTTAACGTCGTCAGCCTGTCGCATAGACGTCTCGGCGCCACGAGCGAACCCCTCTGGCTTGCAGCAGCAATTAGCAAAACCAATTCCAATCCCTAGCCCGAATTGCCCAACTGGCCACCTGCTGGATCTGGTGTAACTAATTGTTCCCTGCCCTGTCATCTGAATCAGTTTCGTGGAGCACGGTGTAAAAGCCGGAGTGGGCGCGGCGAAAGTCAGAATAGTTGCAAGATTGTCCTATTTCGTTACTTCTCTCGTTACTCGCCAACGGCTGTCTGACGTTCACCACATTGGAAACGAGGGAGTCCTCATGGCAATCGACATATTGCGAGACCCTTTCTGCAAAAAGCATGTTTGTGATGAATGCTAAATTTTGTTCAGTGAAGGGGCTATACCATAATGAAACGCCCAAGTGTCCATCACTGTTCGGCGAGATCGACATGACGGTCTCGAATACCGTAGGCCTTTTTGGGTTGCATTTATGCATTTCATGTCTTGACTGTCGTGTTTTGTGCATGAAGCATCACGCCTCGTAGTTCTGTTGTACATGCCGTGTCGGCTTCTGTTTCACTGACATGCAGTAGTGAAAGTAAGGGAGAGCGAGTCTCGCCCCCTTATCTTCTCTGGTCAGAGACGAGAGCCTCCAGTGGAAGATTTCCCGTGAGACTTGCCACTCTCTTTGTTGCCCTCCACCACGACGCCCAGTGATATTCCAGCATCCAGTATGCTCATATTAGGGACATCCTTAAAGGACTCGTCGCCCGCGAAGCGCCTATGCGTGGCTTGGTTAGTTGTGTCTCTTCTCACAAATCAGGGGTCGTGAAATAATGACAAAGCGTTAGATTAATCAAAGCTCGCTTACCATCCTCGTTCCTCTCCCTGAGAAAGATGGGAACAGTCACTGTTCAGTTCGCAGTCCCAACCACCCTTTACGCCTCGGCCACCCCTCCAGACTACGGGAGCATGAAGACCCTGCTGCCGTGGATCACTCTCCGCACCCTGAAGATCACCGGTACCTGCTTTAGGGGTTTGCTTTGCCATTCCAGGAGTGATGCCGAGGATGTTGCTGGTGTTGTTCACGCCGCTGCTGATGCTGCGATTTGCCACCGTCTGGGTCCGAGATGCGCCCGCAGTCATACTGGCCGTGTTGGTGGCCGTGCGAGACCCGTTGGCTCTTGACGAAGCCCCCTTTCGTCGCCGAAACACACTTAGGCCGCAGGTAAAGGCTCGAAAGTCTTCGACCTCGATGTTCTCCGGCATATTGCCAGTCAGAACACGACCAAGAGCGATGATGGGCGCAGCGTGCGAGCAGAGAAGAACGGCACGAATGCCATCCCTATCACACTCGGCAATTAGCCGCTCCAAGGTAACAGCCAGGCGGTCATGCAGTTCATCGACACTTTCGCCCATCCGTGTCGGTACTACTGCCGGCTGATAATCACGGTCCAGCAGGCAAGGGAAATGAGACTCGAGCGTGGCAAGGCTCGCAGGTACGGGGTGTTCGAAGGGCGCCGAACCGTACCACTCGCCTAGTCCTGTTTCTCCTCGAACACGCAGCTGTCGCTGGCAGTGGCGAGTGCCCTCTTTGGCTTCTTCTGGCAAAGATGATGGAGAGGTCGATACTGCTCGGACGAATGGTTCTACCGTCTGTAAACAACGATAGTACAGACTAGAGTAAACACGCTCTATGGGCGGGTCTACTGCAACCAAACGCTGGCCCAGCTCCTTGGCTTGATCTACGCCATGGGCTGTGAGGGCTGGGTCTGCGGCTATACCCGTAGGGGACCTGAGAGTGGACGAGTAACTACCGTTGGTATGGTCGACCAGCCAGTTGGAGCGGAACTGTGAGCCGTCCCTGTTGCGTCAGCTCAATTCTACCTGTAATCAAGGTCAGCAGTCCCAAGTCGGCGCTCTGGCAGGTTGCCGGAGGTCTGCCATGGGAAAGCTTGTTCTCCATATCACAGCAATATGGGCTATCCCGTGCTCTGATAACAGTTTGCACCAGAGTGGACACTGGCACAGCGGCGAGTGATCTCCCTAGTGGCCGTGGAAACGCCCATTTTCGTCTGCGTGGAGAGACTGGTGTCAAGTTGCGACGCCGAGACCAAGGATATGGCAAGTAACGTGCTAAAGTCTCGCCGCGGACGGGGAAGACGGAAAGGCTTGGAATTAGGGAATAAGAAAGGAAAGAAATTAAAAAAAAGGGACGGGGAAAGGGAAGGTGATGTCAGTGTACACTTACACCGTGGCGTGTCACGTAGATAACCTCCAATGTCATGGTTTCTGTGGGAGCAAGGTGAGAGATGTCACAATTCTCGTAATGGGAAGATGTGTTCGGCTTAGTGTCTGTTTCTGACGTGCTGTCTGTCTGTTGATGCCCAAGCGGATGTTGTTATTGTTGGTGGTGGTGGTGGTGGAGGTGGAGGTGGTAGTGGTGGCGTTGTTGTTCGTGTTGTCAAACGGATGGGGCGCCGAGGTCTAGAGCTAGCGGATTCGGACGTCAAATTCCCGGGTCCTGACCCGGACCGAAACCGATCGGGCGAATGCCTCCCCGAGGAGGCTAATAACGGTCTAATCCGCGTCCTAACGCATTCGCGTGCCAAGTATGACGTAACCCGTTAGTGTTCAGCTAGGCTCGCTAACACGCTAGCACTTCCCCCACATGTGACATGTCGCTATTGTGGTAGGCGAGCAGACAGATAGAACGAGGCCAGGGAGTGCGTGTCATGTAAATCCAAGGATGAGATTGAACTTGTACATTCACTCTATCACCAGAGGAGCGGGGCTGATGTGGGAGATTGGCCCCTGTTGAGCTGGGTACAGTACGGCTTAGTCTACACACTCGTCGCTCGTTGGCACTCTCTTCACATGAGCGTCCACGTGTAAGTTGTAGGTACGCATACTGGCCGCCTGATAGTTACTCGGCCCGGATACCCGCATATGGTTCATGGTGTTGATGTTTGGCGGCAAGCGAGTAGAGTTGGGAATCCAGATGCTATCTGTTGTTGTTGTTGTAGTTGTTGCTGCTTGATAATCATCGCTGTCTCAACTTGGCTTCGTGCTCTACCCAGAAGTTCTTGCATGCCCTATGTCCCCAGAAGTCGACCCACCACTCACCGAAACTATCCTCGACATCAAAGTCAACTCCAGTAACTCGTTCATCCCTTTTGAGGCCGCATATCACACAGGGTTTCGGTGCCGTGGGTACGTTCTTGGCTACATGGACCGGGAGAGCGAGCTTGAGCTGAGGGACCCTGAGTTTGGTATCCGAGGCGGCATTAGCTGCCGTAACTGTAGAGCGCAGACTTCCCTCTTGCTGGGCCCAGACATCCAGAACCGCCACAGCACTGTGATCATCTCTGGCAGACTGAGATTTGTCAACAGTGGCAAGCTTCATTCCTCTCATGCCTCCTGCGGCTGAGATGGACATGCCCTGCATAAGAAACTTATCGCGTTGCCACCTTTGCTTTCGGCCAGCGATGATCCTGCCCGTCACAGTAGCCAAGGCCAGATAACCGCGCAGGAATATCATTGTGGCAGGGTCGGAAGCAACAGCATGCTGCTTGGCCGCAGGCAAACCCTTGATCTTGAGCAGAGTTGTTTTGGAAAGATCGAGGAGCTGGGGCAGTATGGAGAGCAAGATAGATGGTGGAGGCACGTTCGTAGGCGGAGGACGTTTGTCAGAGTTGGTGGTTTGGGAAGCAATTCCGACAGCCTGTGATTGGACTGTCTCTGTTTCCTCCCAGTCCTTCCAATCTGAGTCAAAAGAAGATTCTAGCTCTGGTTTCTTTGCTGGTGTCTTGGTATTACCAGCCGTCTTTGTCAGTGTCTTTGTGTGACTGGCAGAAAGGTCTGCGAACTTATCCCACTCATGCCCAAAACCATCACCAGTACCGGACGGCCAGGCTGTGACCGGGGACGCTTCTCGCTCCTTGACCTCTTTAGGAAAGCCCGAGGTCACTGGTGTCTTGATCTTGAGCTCCTTGACATCGCTGAGTTTTCGAGCGTGGGACGATGCATACGGAGACTTTGGCGCTGCTGGATGCAGCGTCTGGGAAGTGCCACCCGATAGGAAAAGGCCAGGGGGCTGTTTCTTGGGTTCTTTCGTGCCGGGACCGGCGGCTGGGACAATGAGCGCGGGACTTGAAGTGCCTTCAAAGTCACCGAACTCGTCATCGTCGTCGTCTTCCTCACCGTCTACCTCCTGGAGCTCAAAGTCATCGGCATCAAACAAAACGCTTGGGTCAGCGTTTCGGATAGGCTTAATCACGGGTTTCTGTACAGGCTTGCTGGCGGATGGTTGAGAAGACAAGTCGAGATTGACGAGCTTATTCGACACCAGATCAAGCGTTGGGCTTCTGACACGACCAATTTGGGGCGGTCCAACGTTGGTGGCCGGAGGAGATGGGCTTTGTAAACTTGTGACATGGGTGGCGGCAACTTCAAAGTCTCCCCAACCGTCCTCATCCTCCACGTCCGGCGCAGCGGGTTTCGGAGGTGCTGGAGCTGGCGATGCGGATTGGAAACTCTGGAACCCTCCTTGGGATCCTCCCAGCGTGCCGAGATCGCCCCATAGACTTGATGTTTGGGGTTGGCTAGGCGGTATTGATGGCCATGGTATAGAGACAGGAGCTGGTTGTTGTTGTTGTTGTTGTTGTGGTTGTGGGGGCTTTTGCGGTGGCAAGGAGGTGCTGTTGTTTGATGTCAAGAAAGAAAAGGGGTCGCTGCTGTTGTTAGCCGGATTTGACTGAGAGCCTTGATCGTGAGATGAAGCCCCAAAGGCCGCAAAGAGATCGGCGGACATGATGGGTGTACTTTAGGAGTTGGCCGTTTTATACGAGGCGTCGTTGGCGTTTGTGTTTGAAGGCGAGGCTGTACAAACGCATTTCGTCGTGATGTGTTGAGACTTGAAAGTGGTGATGAAATGAATGGACGAGGATGCCTGCCGGACGAGGTTCGAGACCTACGCGACCTTGCAATGGTCGTCAACGCGGACGGGAAGGGAAATAGCGGACAAGTCCGGCCCCACCATACACTCCGACCCCTGACCTGACCTGACTGGCCGAGGTGCCCCACCATTCAGCACACTCGCACTCTCACAGAGCGCTGAAGAAGTCTTGGCAGCCATGAACTGTAACCATCACGCATCAGTAGGTCGGTAGGTAGGTATCACCCGGGCTCTTCTAACCTCAAAGTCAGGTTTACTGACAACGGGAACATTCAGGATTCCCGTCATCTCATCTTTCTACAACACATTTCAACATTGTTGATGGCGTTTGTGCCCATACACAGTAGAGATACATACACACTACCTACCGTTTCCGACCTTGATCAGCTTTCTGTTTGTTTACAACCAACAAACTCCTTGATAGCGTCACTCGCCCTGAAGTGACTAGATAACGTAGGGGATTACTGGGACTGTATCATCTTCGACGTCACATCATTCATCCAAGTCATGAAACCATTATCCGAAGCAAAGTACGTTATGGCTACTCCTCAGAATACCATAACAGCCACATGCTGACCCTGCCCACAGGTCAAGATGGGAAGAGACAATGCGATATAGCTCAAAACCCTCGAGCTTTGCAGATCTCCAGCAGGCCATCAAGCACCATCCCCAAGACAGTCCATGCCTGGCAGGTTGTCGCTCCGTCTGCTGGAAGATGCTTCTTGTATTCCGAGACTCACCAACTGAAAAGTGGGTCGACATCTTGAGCGGATGTCGCAGTTCCTATGCATCCATCCATGAGAAGCATCTTCGCTTTATCAAGCACCCCGAACTGCTGGCCAAGCTACCGGTTGATCCTCTGGCAGACGACGCCGACTCGCCCTGGGAACTGGTGCGCAAAGATGAGCTCATCCGGTCGGAAATCCTGCAGGATGTCCAACGGCTGCCGGATGACCCCCTTTATCACCAAGACTCTGTCCAGGCCATGATCCTGGATATTCTGTTCCTCTACTGCAAACTCAATCCTGGTGTGGGAGGCTACCGGCAGGGCATGCACGAACTGCTTGCCCCTATCGTTCATGTCCTCACCCAGGACGCTCTGGACCGAAAGACTGTGGCAGCCGATGAAGAGCTTGGCCCTTTTATGCTTGACATGTTGGACTCGGCATACGTTGAACATGACGCTTACACTATTTTCTCCATGCTCATGGCACGCGCAAGCGCCTTTTACGAAGTCGGTAGTGATGCAAATGGCGAGCAAAACACCATTGTCGAGAAAAGTAGGCACATTCACGACGAGTTGCTCATGCAGGTGGATCCTGAACTTGCAAGCCATCTCAAGGAGATTGAAATCCTTCCTCAGATATTCCTCATCCGCTGGATCCGCCTTTTGTTTGGTAGAGAGTTCCCTTTCGAACAGTTGCTTGTATTATGGGATACGATTTTTGCTCTCGACCCAAACTTGGATCTGATAGATCTAATATGTGTAGCCATGCTACTGAGAATCCGATGGACTTGTGAGAACACTCTCTTCTTTTTGGCACTTTCCGAGCGAAACCGAGCAACTGACACCATGACGCGAAAACAGTACTCGAATGCGACTACGCCATGGCTCTGCAACTCCTCCTCCGCTACCCAGTTCCTCCAGACTCTCAAGGCCCTCACACCTTCGTCGACGACGCCCTCTACCTACGAGACCATCCTAACCCCACTGGTGGCGCCACCGTCATCTTCAAACACACTGGAAAGCACCCGCTTTCATCATCAGCCGCTCCTTCAGTGACTAGCCCAGGTCCCCAACCGCCAGCCTCGCCCTCCAAACACGGCTTTGGCAGCTTGCGTCAGCGGACTCTAGGAGCAAGGTCACCGTTGTCCTCCCTACAACAACCCGGAGGCGTTGAAGCTTTGCTCTCCGGCGCTGCTAAGAACATGATTGAACGCGGAGAGAAACTGGGCATCAACCGAGCCGTAAGGGACGCCATGGGCGAGATCAAGAAGGGTCTTCAGGAAGCTCGCTCATCTAGTAGGAGTACAGCCCCCCGCAGCCCTTTGCGCGACGGATATCTCTACCAGCCACCGCAACATACGGTCACAAGTATGCAGAAGAGGAACAGACAGCTAGCGACCATGTTGGACGAATCAGTCACCAGCCTCAAACAGCTCGCCGCTTCGGGATTAGGGGAAACAACCGACAAGGAAAAGTACGTAGAAGCCGTGGAGATTGCCGCGGCAAAGGTCCAGTTTGTCAAGGCGTGCCTGGAGGACTCATCATTGATACTTGATGATTTGGAGGAGTCCGCTCCTGAGCGTGAACCACAAGCACCGTCGTCCCCGACTCCCTCTGCTCCGGCCTTCAACGCCCTCAGCCTGTCGCCTTCCCGCCACAGGGGTAATACCGATTCAAGGTCACCGACGGTCGCCTTGGATATAACGCCGGTGGTGATGACTTCGTCGATCGTGGAAGAGGAAGCGGAAGCCGAAGTTAGCATATCACAGGCATCGACTATCAATACCCTCCCCCCTGCACCTGCACCTGCACCAGAATCAACGGTGGAAGCGGATGAACCGCCCAAAACCCCAACGGAAATGACGACGCCGAAAAACACCATAAGCAAGCCCAAAACCAGCAACGGTAACGACCCTTCTTCATCTCCCGCCGGCATCCACAAGCCACCAGCATCACCGCCCTCAGCCAACCCGATCGAGCCAACACTATCATCACCACCAACCCACCCAGACCCCGTTCCCTCTTCCTCACCCTTGCAATCAGAAACCCTGGAACAACAACAGCAACAAGAACAACAAGGACAACAGGAACAACCGCCTCACCGCCCTGAACCCCTTCCCACCCGCTCAACCATAGCCCAATCCTCCTTCGCCTGGATGCTCGAACCCGACTCTCCTTCTTTCTCCGCCCCTAACTCTTCGTCAACACAGCAACACTATACCAAGAATACCTTCCCCCCACCCCGCTCGCCTACCACCGCTTTTCCAGAATTAGGTGGTCGTGGTCGACCATCTAGTTCTCACTCCTCTAGCCACCCCATCACTGGGACGGGAGGAGGAGCTAAAACTAAGCCAAGGAAGAAAAGTCTCGGAAAGAGTAGTCGCATGAGTAACGCCTCAAGGGAACGTAATGCATTTCTTTTTGGCGATGATGATGAGGATGGTGAGGGCCAGGCTGCGGGAGGAGGAGGAGGAGGGGGTAAGAAATCGGGACTGGCGATGGGGCCGTTGGGAGATGGGATTTTTGGGTTGGAGGTCATCTCGAGGAGTAAAGACAGGCAGCAGGAGAAGGATGGTGGGAAGGAGGGTGATGGGGCGAAAGGAGAAGAGGGAGTGGAGGAAGAGAGGTGATGCGGGATACGATGTGTGAGCTTTACTTATACTCAATGCTGGTGGTTGAGATCTTATTGGCAAGGCGTTTGATCTCGGTGATGCTTCAGAATTGCCTTGGTTTTGTTAATCAACGTGGAGAAGGCATAGCTGCCCGTGCTCCGTCCTATTCGGTGCTGATTTTGAGTTTTGACGGTCATGACTGAAAATATATTTCGCTGATCATGGTGTTACAGTTACTTCCCTGCTCGGTTTTACCTTCCCTTAGGTTCGAGGCGAGATTTCCACAGTAAACTTGGTAGATGGTCGCTGTACCGTGAACGACATCAACATCATCCCTCCTATGGGTAGACTTGACAACTCCAAAACTGCTCCGAGATTCAAAGATCAGAGACCATCATCGATACGAGCTCGTGGCGTGGACAGACGCTTGCGCCATATTCCTCCCATCACTCGAGATAGGCAACCAAATACCAGCCGAGGTAAACACCACAGACCCCATCACTGCCTGATACCATAGATTTTTACTCCTTGCGCAGCCTCAAACATCCCCCCAAACAAGGTCCGCCTCCGCAAGCCGTTTCTGCTCAAGCTGGAACAGAAATTCCAGAACTTGCTCACCCACCATCTCCTTGGTGCGCTTCAACAATAAACCGCTTTCCACTCGCCCGACATGCTCCGGTACCAGCCCGGCCTCGATTGGAAAGCTGGCCCAGCCGCGAAACATGTTCTGAGTCTCAGGAATCGGTTCGACTTTGATTTGTGGCATTGTCATCCCCAGTCTCCTGCACATCTCAGCTATTCGTTGATGGACCGAGATACTATCGTCATGGACGTCAATATCAAGAAGATTATCGGTGGCTTTCCTACGAATAGGCGCGGCAGCCGGAGGAGGTTTGGCAAGATAGGGTGCCAATGACTTCTTGGTGTTACTCACGGCATTTGGATCCAGAGAGGCACCGTTGCTACCGTTGTTTGATTCCGATTCCCCGGTCGCGGGAGGCGATAGCGTGGCGGGGATGGAGATGGGCGCAGACACGGTGCCATTATCATTAGCGAATCCGTTGCTTTCGACCGGTGCCGTAGGGGTCCGCTGGGGAGTAATGATCGAAGGGTGCACAACCGCAACTTGAGGTGTTTTCTTCGCCTGCCCGATTTGGGGATTGGCAGGTTTGGGCGTTGCCTTGAAACTGCCGAAAGTCACATTTTTGCAATCTGAGGGCATGTACCTTTGATACATAAGCCACTCGATAGCACACTTGGCTGCGTACCGTTTTGCGTCCTTTTTCTTGGTAAATTGCGGGACATAAGGTGCTCCGGTAATCTCGTCATGCAATAGACCATTCTCTTCGCTGGGGAAGAGGATCGGCTCCCAGTCCTTGGTGACTTGAAGTGAGACAAAGCACATGAACCCGACCTTGCCAACCGGATTTTGGTGGCTATCATTATATTCGATCACACACTGTTCCGCTTGATGGGCCTGCTGGTATCCTGTGTAGCGTATTTATGAGTAGGAGCCTGCGTAGACACGGATGTACAGACTTACTCATAAGTAAAGAGATCCAATCAGCTTCGCTAAGGCCAAAATTATGCTTCGTCTTGACAATGGAATTCTTCAGGTCCAGAATGGCTCTCTTCTGGATATCAGTGAGTGGCTCTGGCTGGGGTAGGGCTTCTTGTTCGGCGATCCAGGCCTTGAGGTCTAGGTAAGAGACGGGTTCATCGAAGATGGCCGCTCCGACAGGGACAGCAGTGGGGACCGCATTGGGGTGGTGCTTGGCCTTGTCGACTTCCATGGATGTTAACGAGGTTGTTGTTGCCCCGTTAGGTCCTTGCTTGCTACGTTTTGGTGGTTCTTGGGCGCGGGGAGCAAAAAATGTTGAATGATGCTTTCGTTTCTTAGACTCAAGGTTGGCGTCGGACATGGTGCTTTATATCTGATAAGCCTGAGAACCGGATGAAGGGCTTTGACGGAAGGGCTACCTCAGTGGTAGAGTTACACGGGCAGCGAGAGTGGGGTAGACGGGCTTTACCGTGACTGGAGCCAGGCAGACAGCTACACCACAGACCACTGAGACGACCACTAAGACGCTTTTCACTATGGTTGACTGGGCAGAGTCCACCGCACATCGCAGCCTTGTACGCGTGAATGTCGCCAGTCGTTTGTCGACGCGGGGCCTGCAAGGAGATGGCTGGTGACGGAATCCGGGAGTAATATGTGACGAGCCGTTTCCCGAGGACGTCTTGGAGCCGGAGCGGGTGTAGAATACGCGTAGAGCCGACACTGGAGCTGCAGCTCTCTCGAGGATACCTCTTGGTGACAGGGCAACGAGACTGGAGCCTTGCAAGTATTGTAACGAGTGGTGGTGCAGTGCAGTAGATTGACGCCATAGAAACACATTGACAACAAACTGTTTGATTTGACGGAAGAGAAGAAGAGAAAGAACCTGCAAGTGACGTGAGACGGAAGGGAAGTATTACGTTGCCGGCAATGTGAAGGAAGGAAGGTACGGTCGAAGAACAGCTTCCCTAAAGGAATTGGCGTCGACTCTGAAGGTACCGCTCGTAGTCTCGAAGTAGCCCCAGTGTACACGACGAACGGAAAGAAGTTGTCGGTAGGCCTCTGACAGGAGTATAGTGGCCACTAATTCAGTCTACCTAGGCAAGATCAAGCGGAATCTGGATGAAGCGCCTGACAGAACTGCAGCACGGCGTTTGAGGTCTCCAAGATCAGATGGATGACCAAGCTGCTGCTTCTCGAGTCAAGGATGTTGAAAGAAATCATACATTGCCTACCTTCAAACGAGCAAATGGAAGTTGCCTGGTACTCGTACTAGACAATGTGGAGGTTGCATCTCGGCAGCTGGACTACCTATGGTACTGTGTAGTGTAGAAAGAAGGAGGACGGACTGTTGAGGCTTGCACTTCATCGATTATTACCTAGTAGATACCTATATGCCAAGAATGGTCCGTGCATCGCTGTAGTCGTCATTTCTGGGGTGATAGCCATGAGCTGCCCGCTGCCCGCCGTGCCCGCCCGACCTAGCTGCGCCATAGCCGCCCATGGATGATACAAGTGCAACGAACAGCATGAACTGAACCTAGACCATGGAAGCAGCAACTGGAACTTGTTGAGAAGAACGAGTTCCATTTTCCACTTGCACTCGGTATTGGGTTGTGGCCATCCTCTCTCCATCGTCAACATTTGTTTGTGTGGTCCAACTAAGCAAACCAAGCAGAAGCTCTTGTGATCATCATACATACGCGCACTCATACTTACATATACGCCATCCCCATTAGCTTTACGTCCACCCTCAACCTTCACCTCTTTTCGCGACTCCCGTCTGTGGCCCTCGATATCTCTCCGTCTGCCAAATCCGCCCTCGGCCTCTAGTCTCGGAACCCCGCCATTGTGCTGGTCCTGGTCCCGCGAACCCACGTCTCTTGTCTACCTTCGTCTCTTGCTCCGGTGCAATTACTTGCCACATCCGTCTCAGATCCTAGACTGCGCCTTCCTGTCAACTCTCTGGCTCTTCTGCAACCGTCCGCTCAAGCCCAGAAAGAAACGTTGCGTCATGTGGAACGACGAAGACAACAACCCTTACGGGAGCTTTGAGCGCCGTGACTCTTTTGCTTCCTCAACCAATCCTGCTTCTCCGACCGCTCGCGATTGTGAGTTTGACCATCTTGACAGCCCATTCTAAATCTACCATGACCGACCAGTCGGGTGATATATGCCTGGGGGACTTTGCCCATGACAATGGTGACGCTGATACCGATTGGTACTTGATAGATTCCATAGACGCTCGCTTCCCAACTCCCCAAGATGTTCGCTATGATGCTCCTCTGACGCCCTCGGATGCTGGTGACGACGAAGTACCGGGTCCCACTTACCCTAGGGAAGCAAGCGATGCTGCGACCGATGACGAGACAGATGACCAAGCCCACGGCGAGCTTGTACCACGGCGCAAGCCAGGTGGCTATGACAGCAGAATCGAGCAAATGCTATACGAAAACCCCGAGCTGCCCATTTTGATTACCGAGGCGGGCAAAAGTCAGGAAAGCGGCGGAAGATTTATTGTGTATACCATTAAGACTGGAGTAAGGTTCGGCTTCCCTCGACTAGCTGGCATTGTGTTCGCTGACCAGTTCTTTTGTCTAGGACTTGACCGTTCGCCGGCGATATTCCGAGTTTGCGTCACTGAGAGACGCCCTTACGAGACTTCACCCCACGCTGGTCATTCCCCCCATACCAGAGAAGCATACGATGGCCGATTATGCTGCCAATCCCACAAATGCCAAACAAGACCAGCAGATTATCGACCTACGAAAGCGCATGCTTGCTGTTTTCCTAAACCGGTGCAGGCGCATGGAGCAAGTCCGTACCGATGGTGTATGGTGGCGATTCCTGGATCCAAACTCAAGCTGGGTAAGTCACAGGGCCTTTTGATACGGAGCTAATCAGCCAGCTAACGCAGCCAAAGACGGAGGTCCTCCATTCGCATCCCGTGTCCTCTATTCCGAAGCAGATTATGAAGGCGCCTCCCCTGGATCCTGCGAATCCGACTCCTGGACACAGCTTCCTTCCTGTGCCAAGTAGCTCGGCCAAGTTGAAGACATTGCCGACACAAGCTCTCGACAGTGCTGCGGCGGGGTCCCTTGCTCGGTTTCCACCCGACGCCAACTCCCTCAGCGAGCAAGACCTGGACGCCTATTTCATTGCCTTTGAGACCTCCATCAAGGACCTCGAATCGCTACTTACTGGACCGATGGAGAAAGTAAACCGCCGCACGCTGAACCATTTGTCTTCGTTGGCTTCAGACCTTTCAGAACTCGGCGCTCGATACAACGCCTTTGCTTTGTCAGAGACGGCGCCTACCGTTTCAGCGGCTATTGAGAGGGTTGGACAGGCGGCAGACTCGTCATACATTGCCACGGAAGAGCTTTCCACTTCGTTGAGCGCCAGTTTTGCCGAACCCATGCGGGAAAGTGCGCAGTTCGCCGGGGTTGTACGAAATGTGCTGCGCTATCGGATTCTGAAGAGGGTCCAGCAAGAGATGACGACGGATGAGCTCAACAAAAAGAGAGCCCTGTTGGAGTCGCTAGAGAGAAGTGAGGCGGAGGCCAGGAGGATCGATCAATATCTCAGCAGTAGCCAGCAGATCCAGCCCCCTAGGAGGGAACCGCCGGCGCAGCACCGTAGGGACGGGAGTGGCGAGGACACTGCATCTATCGATTCGGACTTTCCTCCTACGCACAGCGATTTCTCCCAGGCACCATCTGCTAAGATCGGGGCGCCAGAGCGGACAGGAGGTAGCCCGAGTCATAAGAAGGCGGCGAGCACCTCGATCACGAACAAGATCTTTGGGCCAATTCGGCACGCAGTTCAAGGAGTGGTGGACGTTGATCCTGAGCGGACCCGGCGTGACACTATTGGAAAGACTAGGGAATCCATCGTGCAACTGGAGCAAGCACAAATTGCATCGGCCAAGGATGTCAAGGACGCGAGCGCGAGCGTTCTTAAGGATCTCAAGAGGTTTCATCGTGAGAAGGAGGATGACCTCAAGCGGTACATGGTAAGATCACGACAATTTACAGTATACCGATCACGACCAATTGCTAACTTGGGTCTTAGCTCGCGTATGCCAAGAGCCAGATTGAGTGGGCAAAGAAGAACCAGGAGACTTGGGAGGAAGCGAAGGCCGAGGTCAACAAGATCAACGAGTCTTAGTCGAACAGAGTGGTCCGTTCTCCGAGTGAGCGGGTTCATATTAAACGTCATGAGGGATGATTTATCATGTGGAAAGTGTACCAACAACTTTCCGGGCGTTGAGGAGATGTCAAAAGGGTTGTTTTCAGTCTTGATGACGAATATCAATCTAGACGAGAATAAAATATAATGAGAGTCCATGCATCTCGATGGAACAGGACTATTTTCTGATATTTGTCCCTTTATTTTGTGCAAGCCAGTCGGGCATGTTGGATGAGAGGTTGGATGGGTGACAATGGGCCAGACAGTAGGCAACTACGTGACATTCAACAAGTTAAACAACGAACCTTGAACGGGCAGGCCCCACACTTCTTTCAAGGAATCTCGGGGGCCCGAGATCTGGAGGTGTAGTGTAGTGGAACGTACCTTGCATAGGTCACATACCTAGTTTACCTTTTTGGACCAAAGGCATGATCGGCAGGGCATTGGACTGGTGGTTGCTCAACCTTTGTCCACTAACTGCATACGGTGGACCTCGAAGGTGAATACATAAAGACACCTCTAGACTTGGAATCTGATAATACCGTATGGACTCGGAACATCCGTTTTTAAGTTCCGTGGAAATCAGGCACGATCTGTAAGTATACTGCAACATCCATGCCCGCCAGAAATTGTGTGCAAAACGTTAGTTGATTTTGAATATCCACCCTCCAGCGCCTTCGAAAAGATAGATGGGAAAAGGCAGAGCATAAGAAGAATCGAAGTTACAGTGCTCCGGGGCAGCAACAAAACTCTTTTTTTTTTGGTCAAATTATTTTAGCGGCCATATCATATATACAGAATCGGGCATATGTATGTCCGATAATGCCTGATTTTTTGAGAACCTAAAAACGGATGCCCCGAGTCTGGGGCTATACAGTACCACATGTGAATGACGGAGGTGGTTTCCATCGCCTTCACTTGGTCGCGTTCCAGGGGGTATGTAGCGCATATGGTGAGCCTTGGTTCGCAGTATTTAATCAGTGGTAAGTACCTGTAGGTACACTCCCAGTGAGAAACCGTTATTTACAGCCTGATCAACCAACC